CATTTTATTACTTACATTCCAAGCACATGGTTTGATTTAGATTAAATTTGAATTTTGGAGGAATGAATTGAGGTTAGGTTTCAGATGTTGATGAGTAGGCGCTTGTTGGGTCGGTGCGTTGGTATTTCGTGTTCGTATAATGTTGCCAGTAATGCCAGCTATCCCTGGTTCTGAAATATTGAAACATTTAGTGGATTTTCCATGGAAGATGGAACAATTAATTCGTTCCAGAGAAAAAAAGAAAATTTCATAAATTTCCAAAAGAGGGTTATTCATATAGGCGAAAAATGTACCCAACCCGGAATGTACGAAACTTTGTGAGCTGATAGTACTAGTTGAGAGAGGCTTATCCCTAGCTCCGTTTTTGCAGGAACCCCAGGGAAACAGCGTTGCCATTTTTTAAAGTCGTAACCTTCAAACACCCATAACTTTCGCAGAAATGCAGTTACAGAGCTCGTATTTATACCAAAAGATGCAAAAAATTACGTTCTTTCGACCAATGCCAAAGAAATTTTAATTTTGCTCCATTGTTGCCACGTTTTGGCCATTTTTTTAATTTTCGTAATTATTTAAAATCACGTTACCGCCTAAAACAGTGTTTGCGGTTGGTGGGGACTGAATAAAAACCTGTCGGAATTATTGTTCGTTTGATTCCGCATCCATCGATATATTATACTTTTCTGAGAGACTTAGGGAACACGAGTTATAGCGATTTGAAAATTCGGCAACACGCCCTATACCCCGATATTGACGCGCGTTTAGGTACGTTTCGCAACTCCGTGTTAAAGCAAAACGCCTAGAACAAACAAAATTCGAAAAGTCAGTTCATGTTTTGCGCTTTTTTGAAACTTTCACATGATTTTTAGGAATTCAAGGAGCGGCGGTGTTGCCGGTTTTCAATGAAAACCACCGCTGCCATCACAATTTAAAGTAGTACTCATTTAATCTTATCCAGCTACATTTGCTAACCTAAACTGACCACTTGCGACATGGTGTTGACAACATTGCCTAATTTCCGTCGGAATTCGCGTAGAGGCGGGGTTGCCAGTTTTCATGGAAACCGCCACCGCAATCACAAAAAAAAAATGTATTACTTATTTAATCACGTTCAGCCTTATTCTGTAGTTGGAATTGTTTATTTATCGGATCGATGGTTTCTTCTATCCCTCTGCAACGGCAGTGGTGCCTGACAGTACCGAGATATCGATATTGTATAGAGATCAAGAGCAATGGATCTAGGCCCCTCGCCAAAACTACTCATCGGACCGCTTGAGTGATTCGGTAGCTTTAAATTTCGATATCTCGTTACTGTCGGTCACCACTGCCGTTGCAGAGGGATAGAAGAAACCATCGATCCGATAAATAAACAATTCCAACTACAGAATAAGGCTGAACGTGATTAAATAAGTAATACATTTTTTTTTGTGATTGCGGTGGCGGTTTCCATGAAAACTGGCAACCCCGCCTCTACGCGAATTCCGACGGAAATTAGGCAATGTTGTCAACACCATGTCGCAAATGGTCAGTTTAGGTTAGCAAATGTAGCTGGATAAGATTAAATGAGTACTACTTTAAATTGTGATGGCAGCGGTGGTTTTCATTGAAAACCGGCAACACCGCCGCTCCTTGAATTCCTAAAAATCATGTGAAAGTTTCAAAAAAGCGCAAAACATGAACTGACTTTTCGAATTTTGTTTGTTCTAGGCGTTTTGCTTTAACACGGAGTTGCGAAACGTACCTAAACGCGCGTCAATATCGGGGTATAGGGCGTGTTGCCGAATTTTCAAATCGCTATAACTCGTGTTCCCTAAGTCTCTCAGAAAAGTATAATATATCGATGGATGCGGAATCAAACGAACAATAATTCCGACAGGTTTTTATTCAGTCCCCACCAACCGCAAACACTGTTTTAGGCGGTAACGTGATTTTAAATAATTACGAAAATTAAAAAAATGGCCAAAACGTGGCAACAATGGAGCAAAATTAAAATTTCTTTGGCATTGGTCGAAAGAACGTAATTTTTTGCATCTTTTGGTATAAATACGAGCTCTGTAACTGCATTTCTGCGAAAGTTATGGGTGTTTGAAGGTTACGACTTTAAAAAATGGCAACGCTGTTTCCCTGGGGTTCCTGCAAAAACGGAGCTAGGGATAAGCCTCTCTCAACTAGTACTATCAGCTCACAAAGTTTCGTACATTCCGGGCTGGGTACATTTTTCGCCTATATGAATAACCCTCTTTAACAAGCTCGTGAAATTTCATGAAATATTTCGCTCAAATTTCCAATCTTTCATTTGTTTCTTACATTTTAGGTATGCCACCCTGATTACATCCCTGAGATGTAAAAAAGCCTTCATATAAGAAAAGACTGCTCGGCCGTTCAAACCCAGAAATGCTGGGGCCTCCGGAATGGGGTGACGATGTTCATCATTTAAAAAGAAGAAAGCTCTATGAGCTTGGAATCCAGGGCTTCAAAATTTTATAAAATGAAATAGAATGAAACTACAACAGTTACAATCAGTGCGTCTCCTTGTGCTCACAGCTGGTTGAAAGATTTTAGCCCCCAACGGCCGTTTTTTCCAATGTAATAATATAAAAAGATATTTTTAGTGAAGGATAATGGTATCTTCAACAAAGCTGGCTTCTTTGGCTCTTTCAAAGTATTAGTAATAAGTGAACATTACGAATGAACGTACGTACGAATGAACATTAAGATCTTGACTAGACATTGGAAAATTTCGCCGCCGCGATTCGCCGCGAAATTTTTAAAATGAGCTTAGAAATCTGAAAACTATGCAGAAGCACGCACCGATCATAACCCCCTGAAAACGAAAATATTATAGCGAAATAACGCGAAATCGGTCAGTTTCCAGATTTATCGCGAAATCACGCGGAATCACCGCGAAGTCGGCGAAATCCGTACATTTTCGTGAAATTTACGTATGTATGCGTGTAAGACGAAATGCCGCGCTTTTTTCAAAATAAGAAATCACGGAGTTGTCTCTGAGCATTGATCGTCATTGGCTACCAGCTATCAACGTTCGCCAATGGCATCAAAATACTGTTGAAAGAAATGACGGCAACTGGGGTATTAACACAACATCAAATAATTTTAACATGTTATCATGTTTGATCGTGTTAAGTTGCATCAGCATCTCATTAAAATTTAATTGATGTCACCAAAAAAAAAAAAAAATAAAAAAAACGAATATATATTGATAGAAAGTGCTTTTAAAAAGTTAGCAACAGATATTTTTAATCGAGAATAAAGTGCTTCTTCTGTAAAATAGGATTAGAGAGAGAGGGAGGGAGGGGGAGAGAGAGGGGGAGAGGGGTGAGAAAGAGGGGGGGAGAGAGAGAGGGAGAGAGAAAGGGGGAGACTGAGCGATGGCTCATTAAACAAAATTAAAAGATTTATTTTAAGCTGTCAAACGCTAAAAGCACCACACAAATAACGGCGAAATCAGCAAAAATAACAGCAAAATTCGGGAAAAATAACCGCGAAATCGGGGAAAAATCGAAGCGAAATTTCCTAATGTCTAGTCTAGACAAATGTTATACAGGGTGAGCGAAAAGTCCCCGACCCCCCTTCTAACTTTTGAACGAATTGAGCTAAGGAAATGAAACTTTGGGAATGTTCCTATCTCAAAGAGGACCATCTTTTGAGGGGGTCAAAATTTTGGTCCCCCCCTCAGGGGGGGACAGGGGCCCCCCAACTTTTTTTTTTTCAAATAGCAACCCCTATCTTGTGATACCTCATTCGAAAGAGCATAAAAAACTAAGAATTTTGGCGCAAACCGCAGATCAATATCTCGATTTTTGACCGAGTTATGATAGGTCAAAGGTCAAATTTGACCTATTTTCAATAAATCATAACTCCGGTTCAAATTATCGTAAAGAAAAAAATAAAACGGGAAAATTTACCAAATTGTGTTCGCTTTTACGTAAAAATTGCAGAAATCCCTTCGATTTAATTTTAAGTGGGGGCTCGGACCCCCAAATACGTCAATTCAAAGGTCATTCAATTTTCCCGCGAAATAAGCCAATTTCCTCTGGATTTGCCTCCACATTATCTCAGTAAGGTCAAAATCAGTTCAACATTACGTTGGCAAGTCCCCAAATTTCGGGAAAAGTTAAAAAAACGAAATTTAAGGTGATTAAATTTGACCGTTTAAATTTCGTTTTTTTAACTTTTCCCGTAATTTGGGGACTTGCCAACGTATTGTTGAACTGATTTTGACCTTGCTGAGATAATGTGGAGGCAAATCCAGAGGAAATTGGCTTATTTCGCGGGAAAATTGAATGACCTTTGAATTGACGTATTTGGGGGTCCGAGCCCCCACTTAAAATTAAATCGAAGGGATTTCTGCAATTTTTACGTAAAAGCGAACACAATTTGGTAAATTTTCCCGTTTTATTTTTTTCTTTACGATAATTTGAACCGGAGTTATGATTTATTGAAAATAGGTCAAATTTGACCTTTGACCTATCATAACTCGGTCAAAAATCGAGATATTGATCTGCGGTTTGCGCCAAAATTCTTAGTTTTTTATGCTCTTTCGAATGAGGTATCACAAGATAGGGGTTGCTATTTGAAAAAAAAAAGTTGGGGGGCCCCTGTCCTCCCCTGAGGGGGGGACCAAAATTTTGACCCCCTCAAAAGATGGTCCTCTTTGAGATAGGAACATTCCCAAAGTTTCATTTCCTTAGCTCAATTCGTTCAAAAGTTAGAAGGGGGGTCGGGGACTTTTCGCTCACCCTGTATAGTTTTTATACTAAAGTCAGAAGTTAGTTTTTTAAAGACTGGATGTTTCAAAAAACAAAACAAAAATTGTGCAGACCTTTCAAGTACAAATGAAAAAAAGAAAGAAAAAAAAAACATGAGGCTTGAGTTAGCACATTTTCTCAAGTCAAAGAAGTTGTCTCTGTGTGATTGATCGAAATCAAATATGAATTCAATTCTTTAGGACGACAGAAATGGGAAACCTGCCTTTTTTTCAGGTGGCTCGGTTGTTTTCAATGACATTGATGATACTGATTTTTGTGCTCAGAGATCCACATGTCCGAATGAATTATCAAGTAACTTATCGCCTAGTCCAACCCCTCCTCCACCGCCACCTCTTCCTTCAGTTTCTCTTAGTGAAAAAACCAGCTCGTTTAAAGTAAGTCTTTTTTTCACTTTCGTCATTCATATCTCTCTTGTTTCCCCTATTTTCTTTCCTTTAGTGTTTGGACCTACTCACTTGTTCAATTGTAATTTTGTTAAATTTTTCAAGGTTTTCCACTGGTTACCGGCCAAAGACAGATTGTTATTAACAATGAAAATGGGTCTGAAAACATCTTTTCGAAGGACCTGGCACACTTTTTATTAGGATATGAGCCCTATTTGATTTCCAATTTTTTTTATTGCATTAAACTCATCAATGGATGCTGATCAAAAGTCACCATAGGGCTAGCTTTCTTCAAGCCACCTTTTTTGCTCAATCTGCGGTCGAAGTTTCGGTATTCTCTTGAATAGATGAAGGTAGCGTGGCACTTTAAAAAGGAAAAACCTAGCCAGTGAGAGGTGAGGGAAAAGAGTGGGAGAGAGAAAGAAACTGAGTTGGACAGTGAAACGAAAAGGCCCTCTGAATCCAAGATAAGACTGCCATGGTGTAGTGGCTTCTGATCACAATGCACCTAAATGCGCTGAGGTTTTCCTCATTTGTAGCAAGTGCTGACTTGCTCTTTATAGCCACGCTGCCTTCAATTATTCAAGGAATTACCAAAACCTCAACCGTAGATTATGTGAAAACGGTGCCCTGTAGAAAATTGGCACAATGATGACCTTTGATCAGTATCCATAGACGAATCTAATGCAATAAAAAAAAATTAGAAATGGGTGCACATTCTCATAAGAAGATTGCGGGTTCTTTTTTTTTTTTTTTTTTGTAGTCATTCAATTCTTTGTTGATATGTATCTAAAAAGATATTTTAGTAAATTTAAGAATATTAATGGAACACCATTGCAGGCCAAACCTAAGACCAAACCAAAAAATCTTGGGCGGTGTAAAAGTAATATCAGAAATCCATGAGCTTTACAAGGAATTTTTTGTGCTACGCAAAAAGTTGAAAAGTAACCTCGAAAGTTGCACAATGCACATAAGTTTGATGAATCACATTTTTACGTGCTATCATGCATCATGCAATGCACAACAGATTCACTTCTCTTTTCTGTTTCTTTTAAGCTATTGGAGGGAAACAGATGTATTGTTTCTATGGCTTTTGCAAAAATTCCTTAAACTTTGGTGCATATATGCACTGCAATCTGCAATCCTCTGGTTTGTTTTTTTTCCCCCCTCTCATTGTGTCTAATCAATCATCTTGTTATTTTTAATAACATAATACTTTTTTACAAATGAACATTTTTTTAATATATTTATTTTTTACCATTGATTCTTTACGTTGTTGTCGAGTTATCTTACCAGGCTTAAAGAAAGATTGCTTTTCTGTGGAAAGCACCTATCGTCAATGTTGATAATTGCCAAATATGGGCACTAGGATGTGATTTTCCTTTATATGAGAATCTTTAATACATCATAATTGTTTTTCAGGCCTCATCTCGTACTCCTACCAATGAACCACTATCACAACTTGAGTACCCTGAAATCTACACGCAAAGTAAAGGAAGCAGTGACACCGACTGTAGCAAAGTAGCAAGAATCATTGGTAACTTACCAATAGCTGAGTATGAAGGTTCTCCCAGGAGGTATGGTCTATATCAGAGGTCTAGTTCAGAAAAATCGAACAATTGCACTGGGATTTGTCAGCCTTTGCCCACTGCCAGATCTCTATTAGCATCACCATCCGCTTATTTACCTCGACCAGGCTTTCCTCAGGTAACATGAAATGTATCTTTTCTAAATGAACTAGCTCTTTAAATAGAGGTCTAGTTTGATTGGATCCTTTGTTTTTGCTAAACTTTCCTAATTCAGTCCTGAGTTCCTTTATTGTGGATGAGTTAAAGAAGTTAAGCTAGAATACCAGATTGAAGCTTGAACTATAAAGATCAAAGTGGAGTTGAAAACTTAGCTCCCAAAGAAAAATCGAAGTTTTACCCCAGAGTCTGGTCCTTGGTAATTCATAAGAGTTATAGATGAGAAATAAAGCCCCCAGTAAAAGCCCTAGAGAACACAATGAGTTTTTACCTTACCCACGAGCCGATTCAATTAGACCAGGGACAACAGGCAATTTCATTTCATCCATGAAGTGTATCTTGTGAATATAGAATATTCTGAAGCTTGAAGGGTGTTATTAATCTGTTTTGGAGAAACTTTGGGAAGCTTAAATTTGCAATAGAGGTAGAATAGTTTCATACTTATGATTCTCGATAAAAAAAATGGAGAACTACCTACATACATGCATATGTTTCTTTCATCATCTTCTATGTACTTTTTAACTCAATGAAAGGAAATGAATAAATCAGACAGGAAATGCAAAACTAGCAATTTTTTACAAAATTACAATGAAGCGTAAGTACATAGAAAATGATGAAATAAGCATAAATACTTGCAATTCTCCACTTTTTCCGTTCAAAATCAAATGTATGAAATAATTGTACCTATTTTGTAAATTTAAGCTCTTCAAAGTTTCTCCAAAGCAGATTGATAATATTCTTCAAGCCTTAGAATATTCTATAGTAAGTTGCTGTCACGGGTCTAGTTTTGGTCTCTCATTTTTGGGACTGTTACCCCCTGCAAAATGTAAATGTAAAATTTTTCTCAAGTACAAGATATGTCCCCTATCAATGTATTTTGAGCCGCTGAGTTCAAAAATGGCCTCTATATTTTTGCCTATCACCTCTCAGTTTTCCAGAAGAGCTACTTCTTCCTGGAAAAACGCGCAAATTTGAAATATTTTTGTTATGCATGCAATTTTTTTTAAATAAATTTTTCTGAATCGTGGAAGCGAGATTTTTCTGTAGGTATTATTTGGTATCTATCAGTGATACGCTTCGTGAATAAGATCCATGGAGATGATCCTGTGTGATTGAAAGCCCTTGACCTATTTATTGTCATTAAAATATGTGCAGTGCAAAGGCATCGAGGGTAACCGTCATTCTTAACCTTCTTATATTTTTGTATTTTGAGCTGTTAAATCAGAATCTGACACTGTATGAAGACAAATATCAACTTTTCTTGAGAAATGGAGGGCAACGGGAGAAAAGTGAAGGTCATATTCGGATTCAGCATCCTGAAATTCTAAAGAAAGTTTCTATCACAGATCAAGGAAAATTCATAAAATGAAAACTGCATCCATGGAAAAAAAAAGTCAAATTCGCTTATTTTCCTGGGAGTAAGTGGCTTTTTAGATAACTGGAGGGTGATAGAAAAGAGTGGAGGCCATTTTCGGACTCAGTGACTCAAAATACATCCGGAAATTATGTCTAATGCCTGAGTTACATTTTACGTACATCAGGCAGGGTGTAACAGTCGCAATAACATCAAAAATTCCCAAATGTACTCACTTTCTTGAGGATACTCGGCTTTTTCAAACTAATGGTGAGTGATAACAAATACGTAATTCCATATTCGAGTTTTCCAGCTTAAATTACCTGAGAATCAATTTATTACGCATGCAAAATATTTTTTAAATTTCCCTGGAAGTGGGAACAGTCCAGGAAAGCATTTACACCCCTGTAGGCCCGGAATAATGGAATTTTCTAGAAAACTGGGGGTTGTCAGAAACTTGTAGAGGTCAAAATAAAATTCAGTGACTCTCAACACATCATGGTACGCCCTAAAAGTATCACGGGAGATTCCTGAAACTCTTTAAGACAGCAGAGTCGTCGAGAAAATAACAAAAAAGCCCACTCTCTATGAAAAATTGACTTTAAAGGGAAATTGGTGTGCAAAAGAATAAAATTTTAGATGATATTCGGGTGCAGCAGTTTAAAAATATGCAAGGATAGATGTATTGCGCATTGGTGACATGTTAAAAATTTATCTTCAATTCACGTAGAGTTTGGGAAAGCCTCTACATAGATTTAGACTTGGAAAAATTGGCTTCACCAAAAACTGAAAGGTGATACAAAAAAATTGGAGGTCATATTCGGATTTAACAGCTGAAAATACAGAAGAATCTTGCTTCCACAATTCAGAAAAATGTTTTACTAAAATTGCATGCATGACATAAATACGTCAAATTTGCACGTTTTTCCGGGAAAAAGTGGCTCTTTTGGAAAACTGAGAGGTGTTAGGCAAAAATATAAAGACCATTTTTGAACTCAGCGGCTCAAAATACAAGACCTGTCCAATGAGGCAAAGCTTTGATTTCAGTTTCTTCAAGCTTCTTAGAACGAAATGATCGTAACAGATCTAGTAGCAACCAAATTACATGGTAGTGAAGAGTGTCCCACTCGGATCACGCGCCCTGTGATGCGTACCATCGCGTTTCATTTGAATTGCTCTACTGGGTTTGTTTTTCATCATAAAAATTTGGTTTTGGTATCAAATTAAACCTAAATCAAGCCTATGTCTACTTTTACTAAAGGAACACTCATAATAATTCTCCCGTAAGGTATTATCTCACTACAATCTTTCTTTTTCTTTTGAAAAACTATCACGTTGACACCAAAATTGTGATTCTTCATGAGTAGATCTGCTTACATAAAAAATTTATCAAAATCAATTGCACAGCAATCGAAATACACCGCATTAAAGGGTCGCGTCAGCCGTCTTGGGTGCCGAAACGGGTCCCGCAGCGCGCTGCGCGCAACACTTAAATTGCACTCATGAGCTAATTTATTATAGCACGAAAAATGTTTTGGTATCAAGTTAAAGGTCAGACAATTCTACCGCTCTGTCAAAGGAGGCCAAATATCCATTTTCTTGCCAACGAAGCGGTTGTATCTTGGAAACTAGATGTTTCCCTGATCTTGTGCCTGTTAGAAGTGTTAGAAAGGTGAAAGTCTGAACTTTCATTTAGACTGGTTTTTTTTCAGATTCTGTCAACTCCAAGATAGGAGTAAAATAATAACTACATTATTTGTCTGCTAAAAACTGTTCAAGCCGCACAAGTACCACCCAATGTTAAGTAAACCCACAAACCTATATACCATGATAAAGCTCTATATGTATAAGAGTAAAGTTCGAAAAGGAAATTCATTGAAATTGGTTGAAGTTTAGCAGAGTTATAAACTTACAAAGGTTTTCACTTTAAAAGTAGTAATTGTCACAACCCAATGCTTCTTGGCAAAACTGTGACCCATTTTAGGCGTCTCAGAATGTACTTTATCGCTCAGAGTTTGGAAATGCTGTGGGGCTTTTTTGGCAAGTTTTCTACACAACTCTTTGTTTGAAATGAATCATCCTATTACCTACTATGTTTCTATTGACTGTATCCTTAATAATGGAAGTTTTTATGTACTGATATTAAGCATATTATTTACAGAGAGTTATGAGAGAAGATTTCTGTGGCAGTCCATCACTGGCCCTCTCTCCTACCAAACCAAATTGCAATACCTCCTCAGCATTTGATTACCTGTATGAGTTTTCAGAAACCAGAAAAGTACTTGAGGAATTCTTCAAGCCTGCTTTAGAATCAAATTCTGAACAACCTGATAAACATTTCGACAATCCTAATCAATTTCAGGTATTTTGTACTCTTCTGATCACCTTATTTGCTTAGCAGAATTTTTTTTTAGTATATTTTGCAACCTAACTGGATCTTCAGGAAAGGTTCAAACCAGGAAAAAACTGAATCATTCCTAAATTGTTCAGAGGGGTGATTATTGAAATGATATCAACTCTATGTCGCCGTTTTGTCGTGTCGCGCAATCGACTGAGTGGAAAGGGTGATTTGATGAATCGACTAAGAGGCGACATAGCATCGACAAGCTAAAGGCACCTCCACAGCACCCGAAAAAGGCTTAGTCGATGAATAACCTTAAATTATTTTCGCACGATTTAGTAAAAAATGAATTCATGAAGTGAAAAAGTGCAACTTTTTATTTGAGATTCGTCCCAACGAATTCGGACGCGTTTGCACAGTCCACATTGTGCAGCACAGAGTATCCGATCGTTCAATTCGATGACCAACCATTTGTTAGCCAAGTCACAGCAGTCAACGGGTTGTTTACAACCAAACTACGGCATCAATTAGCGGATAAGTGAAAATGCCGGACTGACGTCATTGGCTTGGCCGTGTTGCGTTTTGATTGGTTGAAAGATATTTAAAAATTCGATAATGACGCAACCGACGACGGCAACGTTGCCGCTTAGTCTTATACCCTCGAATAGACAGGAAGTCTAGTTGTGTCGGGTCCGAGAAGTTCAAAAATTGCTCTCCGCTAACCCAATCGACACGACGTAGAGTTGATTTTGCTTTGTCGCCCGATTTCAATAATCGGCCTGCTGATGACTTTTAAAAACAGAAGTCTTATGTTTAAGATGCTTAAACCTTGAACACCCTTTCCCCCTTTCTACATCCCTCCGAATTTTTTATTTACTTTACTAGAGGGTAGGAGAGTTCAGGAAGTTTCATAATCTTGAACATCCATTCAGCTTTTGTTAAGTATTTCTTTTATCAAATTTGAAGATCATACAACTGTAATGGACCCAGGGTGAGATGGTGATAACTCCAGGATCTTTAGCTTGCTAATTGGGGGCGTAGCATAGCTTAACTTAAATAAACATACCGCACAAAAATGGGTGTAAGAGACTTTATTCTCTAAACTCTACTGACAAAACCATGATAATGCGACACAAACTTCGTGACCACAGAAAACGCTCAATACAAAAACACCGAGTGGGACAACTCTGAGCACCCAAGGCCTCGGCAACCTAGAAAACCTGAAGATGCACAGCTGTCTGCCCAGAGTGAAAGCTGAAGCCGGCCGAACTTAGCTGCGGCCCTGAAAAGCCGGCCATGAGACGTCACTAACGCGTACACATCCATCCAGAAAACTGCATCTAATGACGTCTCTGGCACTTGCAGAAGTCCGAGGCCCAAAACACTCGGTACAAAGGATACACACAATTTCCCCGGATATTGCGTGTGTTCTATTGCTGAACTATTTTAACCCCTCTGCTCACCTCAATTCCTCCCCCAAATTGTCTAATTATTCGGACATTTTTATGATCACTGGGAAAATAAGAGGGGGCAGCAGGGTTGAAATGCCTTTATAATAATCAACATCCACTGAATTCATGTTTAGAATGATGGATTTTCTTACCCCCATTGGCATTTTCTAGCTGAAAAACACATCTGCCTGTCTTCCACTATTCAAGAATCAATGTAATTTTTCTGTAATTTTAATGACTGCTTGCTTTATCTAAAAGTGCTGAAAATTGGCTCAAATTGCAGATAACTCTTTGAAGTGAAGAAAATTGGGGGAAAGGTTATTTTCAGAGGTAGAACCAATTTCCAATGGATCCAGTCGAGTTTTCAGTATGACAGGAATAAGCCGCACCCTAGCTGTGCTAGGCTTATTGAAAGAATGATGATTGACTAGTCTTTATGTATGAAAGTAAAACCATTTTAAGTACATTATTTCTCTGCACAATTTTTGAAAGAGACAAATGTAGAGTTTTGATGAATGTTTAATTTATTATCTCAGTAGTTGACTGTATGAGTATTGAGATCACTGTGCTGAGTCCATCTAAAAAATGTTTCAAATGTCTTTAAAGATGATCTGTTTTGTCTTCAGGAATTAGATTATGAACTCAGAAGGCACCAAGGCACCAATCTATGTAAATCAAAGGAAGGTAATTCTTATGTTGGATCGCGTCTTGCAAAACCTGAGGAAAGCAATAGTGTTGGACATTCACCCAGAAAACCTTTCAATTCCACTGATTTGGTATGCTTTTGTGGAGATTATTTTGAAAATTTACTCCATGTTCTGTATGAACTTTTTCCAGAGCTGTCTTCAATCCACCTCTAATCATGATTGCTATTAATTTTTCTAAAACTAAAAAATGTATCGAAATTAATTTGACTTTTCACAACATTTCAATTTTGAAATTTCTACGGCGTTCCATCAAGTAAGTGTGATTTCTGCAGCAGCGCGTTGCTTGCCTCTGACAATTATAAATTGCACTAATCATATTGACAACTTGTAAAAGTAGCCCTTCCATGCATCTGTATGTTGATTATGAAGATTGTTCAAATAATTTGTACAGCTGAAGTTCACAGTACATCAAATAAAAAATGAATTGTTGTCGGGAGACCAGAGATAAGTAAAGAACTGTGCACGCCCTATCTTGTCCATTCATTTGAGTGAGGCACTTTAATTCTTGGGGAATCAACAGGATTATTAGCCATAAATTTTCTGATTTTGCATGGTGTCGAGTGATGACAGCCAAATTTGAGAAGTGGGCAATTGGAATCTTCTCCGTGTCTTGTCAAGATAAAGATGTTAGACGTTTTGCAATAAGTGAGCTTTTTTGAAAAATATTCAACATTTCTTTCTGAAATGATGCGTGTTCAAACTATTTAATGTTTTGATGTCTGAGTAATAAAATAATCCTTAAGGGGCAAAACATGGTCAATATTGACCCATAATATTTCAAAAGAGCTTTCTGATGAAGTTCTCTTTCCTCTACCTGAGTTGCATATTTTTCTAGTTCAATTATATTATCAGTGGCATCTAGTACCAAAAATTATCTGTATTTATATGTTTTTCCTGGTTCCAATGAAAATGAAAAATATTGACCTTTATTTCCACCAAATTGATGAAAGTTTCATTGGGAACTTAACTGGCCCCAACAAGTGTCAATAATAAAACCTTTTTCTCTTGTTTCATTTAAGCTCCATCTAAGCTCATTCCGTAATTTTTGATTCTTGTATTTTTGAAAAGTAGAGTGTTGTTTCTCAGAAATTTTACCCGAAACATTTTAAACTACATTATCCCACAAATAAACAAGCTCAAAGTTGTATATTTTGAGTTTTCATTAAAAAATGCATCTCCAAGAAAGCCAAGATGGGTCCGAACATATTCGTCCCGTTGTGAGTAATCTCTCGACTGAGCAATTCCACTGCTGCAATTTATGGTCCAAGCACCAAGAAAATTGTTTATGCCAAATGTTGAAAGAAGAATCGAACCAAGTATGTGAGAAAAAATTCTGTCCTTTGCAAAGTCGGAAATGTATGGAAGGTAAGCAAGGTATGCAGGGCAAGGAGCAAGGGAAAGGTCATGTAAAAGCAAGGAGTTTTGGAAACCCTCCTCCCAAGGAATTTTTAGGAAAAAGCAAGAAATTCAAAGAATGAGGCACCTGTAGACATCCTGCAGATGCAATGTGCGCTCCTTAGCAGTATAGGAATTATATTGCTTCTTCCAATCAAAACTTAGGTCCTTGAAGATGCTTGAGAGACCTCTTAAAATTGTTTTGAAGTTTTCCCGAAAAGACCGCTCATTTTTACACCTCATAGCATATTTTGATTTGGGGGGAGCTTTACTCAACTTTCGAAACTGAAGAATACCCTAACAGAGGTTTTTGTTGCTGTGGAGCCTCAAATGGCAATTGGAAATCTAATTCCAATTAATTTGAATTTCAGAACAAAAAGTTTATGAGCATATCAAGGGAGGATTTATCTCAGCCAGATATGTTGATGCAGAAACCATGCTGCTATTTAAATTTATCAGCTGATAGCACTGATTGTGATAGTAATTGTGACAGCGAGCTGAGTTCAATTGCACTGAGTTCCTTGGATATAGCTGAACGACCTCTTTCCGGTGAGTCTTTAATTGTTTAATTTGCACTTTTTAATTATCAGTTTAGCACTTGATATTAGTATGTCAGTTGAATGTTTCAAAATCATATTATTTCCTAGGTCACTCTATGTCAGTAGTCCATACAACCAGGTCCAGAATCCAACCACTATTGATTTAGTTAAATTATTAATCCAGTTTAATGACAATTTTAAATGATCGATTAGAAAAAGTCTCTCCTTCTGATGCTGTGTCACTTCCTCCTGACATCCACGCATCAAAATGAGGTGAGATGCATTCTTACTTCAGTATTAATGGACCACTAGACAAGGTACGAATTTCAGCATTCTGATACACGCGTCTTAACCAAAATTTCACGTAGATCACGATGCGCACAACGAAAATTACCGAAATGGACTCCTTACGAAGATATTTAATGATTCTTGATGTGTAAATTCAAACCACTCGCTCATGAAAACTCAATGCTCTATGTGATTCACATCGCGCGCTGAACGTTATCCTAACAGTATCTGCGATATAAAAATCTGGCTACCTCAATCTTGACACTTTGGCTCAGCTATAGAAAATTACTTATAGTTTGAAAAACACATGGTGGGAAATGAACATTGCTCGATTGAGAGGCTTGCTGAAACCGTTGTAGTGCGCGATTTGACTCTCGTAGAGTTTTGAGTTTCTTGTGAGCGGGCAGTTCAAATTCCTCGTAACCAATGTAAAATAAAAACGTTGATATCTTCGTTAGGAGTTAGTTTCAGTAATATTCGTTGCGCGAATCGTATTCTACGTGAAATTCTGGTTAGGAAACATGTATCAGATTGCTTAAATTCCTACCTTGTCTAGTGGTCCATTCAGTTCAAATGAGGATCATTGCTAGAAAGAAGTCAAAAAAGATTCCTGTGTATTTTTGATTGCGAATCCAAATTCGATGTTATTCAGCAAATATGGTTTGTGCAATTTCCAGGGTAACCGGAAAAGTGCCAATAATTATGTTTTTCTGCATTCTTTCAGTCGCAGCTCCTATTTTTGACATTTAGTCAAAGTAATTATGAAAAACAAAATTTTAACCAATTTAATTTGCAACAAATTGCAATTTTGTGTGTTAATGTCTAGGTTGGAACCATGGAACATATCAAATAATATAGACTCTATATCTCATTTAGACCTCTGTTTTAGAGATATGAAACAAGTTAAGTGTCAGAAAGATTGTTTTTCATGACTCATTTATGTTTATTTTCAAAAGAGTCTGGCATTTTTGGAGGAATGTCAACATTTCCTCCAAATTTCTGGTATTTTTTATGAAACATCAGGCTCTCTTCAAGCCGTCTCCACTTTCCTCTTGCAGACTCTGATCGAATCATATATTTTCCAGCCTCCCAACACACACACGTATATTTACTTTTTCTCAATATTTTTGGACAAAAATAATGTAAAGCGTTATTATCCTTACTGTTCCCTAATAATATTTGATCATGCTTAGGTGGAAGTGGTGGAGCAAACCTAGCAACTGGGTCTTCAGGAGATAAACTCACGTACTCTAGTATGCCTGTCGTCGAAGATGGGTTATCATCTGGACATGCTAGTGATACAGACAATAACAATCCAACTGTAAGTGTATTTCGGTTTCCCTCCTTTATTATCAACAAGTACAATATAAACCGCATATAACGACACACGTGTATAACAGAAAACCGCTTATATCGTTATTTTCGCGCGGTCCTGTTTTTTCACCCTTTAGGAGAAGAGTAAAACTCGCATATCCGGATCGCGTCCGGATCGGCCGAAATTGCCGGTGTAAGCGAAATTGCGAAAATAATGAGTTTTGACCCAGTCGACCGTTAATTTTGTATCAGGCGTAAATGACTATGCCTCAACCCCTCCGCTCACTTGGGAACCGAGTAAATCTTTCGACACTTTACGCTTTTCTCTGACGTACTGCGCACCAGGGCGAAAAAAAGAGGTGTGGAATGACAAGAGGGGATTCAAAACTTGGGAATGTGTGTGTGTGTGTGTGCAGGGATTTAAAGCTGAGGTTTGAGGCAGCATCATACACGGAGCGGCATCGTCGTGTGAGGCAGGTAGCCGACGCGGACTTCGATGCCGCATCGAACAGTGCACCAGGGAATCACATCTGCCCTCAAGCCAGCTTAGCTGGCGATGCCTACAGCCTACACCTGGCATACTTAGATGATGCCGCTTCACTTGCGATGCCATCGCCCGATTATGCTGCCCCACTTTGCGATGCTCGCTCCTCGGCTCTCAAGGTGAGCGGCATGATTCAGAGAGGTCGGATGCCGGCGCTCGACACGGCGAGATGTGGGCCGCCGTGCTGATGAGAAACGTAGATAAAGGGGTATTCCGCGAATTCATCGCCAGGCCCAAGGGTCGCATACCCCGGCAGTCTTCAGGGAGAGCCCCGTGAGTAATGAGTCTCCATGGTGGGATCGAAGAACGATGTCGCATCAGACTAAGAGCCAAGGCTCTAGCATCACAAGATGAATTGCTTCTTGGTCACATGCGTTTGCGTAGCATCAAAGTTTAGGATCAGGGCATGATTCTGGCCTGCGGGGCGATTATTGAAATGATATCGACTCTGTGTTGCCGCTTTGTCGTGTCGCACCATCGACTGAAAGCCACTCAGTGGGCGGCACGTCAGCATTAGGCATCGATATTCGAGGGTGGCGCCTGCGCGGCGGGTTGCGCGCATCAGACGCGGAGCCGTATGCTCGCAGGGCCGCTGCCTGGGCATTCAGCATCGATGCTGCTGCTGCGAGCCGATGCTGTACAGCATAACCTCGCGAGGTGCTTCAAATCCTTGTGTGTGTGCTCTTGCTCCTCGCTGTCGCAGATCAGAGAGGAGGAGGGGGGGGAGGGCATCGGGCAACGGGCCGCGTGCGAAGAAAGCTCAGCGTCTGCATTTCACGCGTGACGTAAACACGAAAGTTTTGAAACTCTGTGCAGAATTTTGGGGGAAAATCCCGTTTACATAGGTTTTGGACCGAAAATTTGTCACGATATAAACGGGTTCTGTTATGAGCAGTTCCAATATACCCGGGGTTTTTTTGCATTGTTCCAATGGGCAGAAAAACGGGACCGCACGCAACTTCTGATATAAGCGTAGGACTATAGAAGCGAGTTTTATTGAATGTGAAAATTTCCCGCATTTATCAGAAACGCTTATTTCAGAAAACCGCCTGTAACAGCAAACATTTTGGTCCCTAATCAAAAAAATTCCGAAATAAACGGGTTTTTTCCAAACAAAATTCTGTGCGAGTTTCGGAACTTACGTAATCTATTGACAGATACTTATTCCAAGAACTTGATACAATGTAAACACCATCCAGATATTAGCAGTGGTGTGGTGTGCTTTGCGATATATCGACTGATCTGCCATTTAAACCTATGGAAAAGGATGGACTAACAGGGTGTTTGCAACGAGCACCTTAATAATCGATCTTTTACCATGGCTTCAATTGGGGAAATGTCGATTTGTTGATCATTCACGCTTTGCCACTGGTTCAGCGGTGCCTCTAGCCCCTTCCATCGCTGCCGTATTCTCACGCAAAATTTATTAACTTTATTGCTCGTTAGTACAAATAAATGACAGCTTGTTGTGTGGATAAGTTACACTGTTTTGTATTTGATGAGGACGAATTCATTTCTTCTGCTTATAATAAAATTACTGCTTGCGATAAAATTCAAATCGATCCCCAAGAAATTGGGTGTTAGCTGTTACAACATGGCATCAGGCCTTGTCCTCACGAGCGGGGTTCCAGGAACAAGTTATAGCTGAGCAAAAACTTATTTCTCTAAAGCCCAGAACTTCCTCTGAACTCGAAGCTTCTACATCCTTTTTTTTTGTAAATTCGTTTGTTTTTGTTGTTTACATCGATCATGTCTTGAAATTTGTTTTTGTTACTTTCACAGCCCTAGTAATCTATTTTTTTGCAATAATTGTATAGTTTTATTTGAGTTGTAATTTTTTGAAAAGAAAGGCTCACTGGCATAATATTCTAAATTCCTGCAATCAAAACACGGAGCTCCGGTTCCGGTTCGGGCGAACTTGTGTGGACAGTATCCCTCATTTCAAGGAACTTGTTTCGGGAAACTGGACAGTTGTCGACAGTGTTTCGAACCACGCTTGTGTGGACAAGACCTCAAGCAGACCCAGCTATCGTGGAGAGGTGCGGGCCACGCAGAACTCAATATTTATGCGAAAACTGCTTGCACCAGAAACCGGGCAAACCCGCTTATACCGTACCATTCGGCCGATCCCGATGCACTCTGTTATATGCGGTTCCTACCGCATGCTTTAATGGACCGATTATATTGATGTAACCCCTGACTATTACTCCTATTACTCTACTTCAAATTGGAAGTTCACTATTCCTTTATTCTCTGCGCATACTGTATCACGAAAAAAAGATGTAAGACTTTACTGCACGATAGCATAGCCTTCACTGCACATCCCTCCTTGGGGGCATTGTTCTATCCCCATAAAGCAATGTAATTTTTGCTGAGATCTTTTAAGTTCCGAAGGTGCAGAATTAACCTTTTTGGGCTCATTTTCTTTGCTCCTCTCTTGGGGACCAAAAGGAATGAGAAAATGCCTGAATGCATAAGTTTTGGAACTTTTCCCATCTGAAGCACCCTTTCACTTGCCTTTTCAGGCAAAATAAGGAGGAGGTTTGGCAACTGTAACTTTCATATGGTTTTACTCAACGAGTTTCGATGCTATTAGAAAAAGCAAAATAGTATTGAAAAAGTGACCATTGCAGCTTTGTAACTGTATGCTGGTTTTTTGTTTTGGGGCACTTGAGCGGCAAGGAATTCTATTTGACTGGAGCCGTGCATATTTTCTCATTTTTTGACATGACTTCCAGAAATTCCCTTTTGCCAGTGTCGAGATGCTCATAAATAAAAAAGTAGCTCTTGATATCCTGTGAGGAAAGCAGTCGAGCATCGGCACCATCATCTCGTAACCATTTGTTTTGTGTAGTGTGTACCCCCTCCACAAATGATGTCCAGGGTTCAAATAGCCTTAAGCTACTTCAGCGAAATTAATCTCCCAGCGGCTATTTGAACTTGGTCTGTCCATTGAAAGGAGGCGGCGCCTATATTGATTGCATGCTCTTTGCACCACATTTCCCACAAAAAAAGGTCCCAAGGATGTTCCGGGACGTGTCGCGGCATCCTGCGGGCTGTTTGTTGAAATTGATAGACAAAGAAGACAAAGGGGAAATGAAGGTATCCTATTAGTGAAAGCGGGTGGTTCCCATGGACGAAAGAGGTAAGTAATGGACTAACTGTCAGCAACCCACTAGAGACCCTTCAGTTAGTACATTATTTTCCCCCTAAGTCTACAAAAACCACCTGTTTCAACCAATAAGATTGCTCTATTTTAAGTTCGTCATCTTCCTCTCAGGCTTCGTTCATCAACTTCAATAATCAGTCTGCTGGTGGGCCGTTCTACTCCTATGACAGATACGAATTCTTGAAGATCAAATATTTGCTAAGATGCAAAAATAGCTCTCATATTCAAATATCTGATGTATCTATGAACATGACCTCTGAAATAGAAGTTATTTTATAACTCTCTCTTAGGGTGGCAAAATTTCATGAAAAATAAAATTGTGAAAGAGGTTGTTCCATCCCCCATTAGATTTGGCCCCCTATCAAATATGATCCATCTTTTCAGGAGTGATACAGTAGCATGCGAGACGTTCAAATATGGCGGTCATTTTGACTTAGGCCCCCCCAGAGAGGGGGGCGGGGGGTCAAAGACAAAACCTTCAACTGCCTATAACTTTTGAGCGAAAAATCGGATTGAGTTGAACTTTTTTTTAAATGAAAGATCTCAAAAAGATCTATCTGTAGATACCAGAAAAATTGAAAAAAAGTTAAATTTAATGCCAATTTTTAGCAATTTTTCGATTTTTTAGGAGACAAAATTTTCAATTTTGTTGTGTTTCGGCACCGCGCAATGATTCCTCTAAAACAAAAACCAGTTTTTTAGATTTTACACTCAATTTCCTATAAGATGCAAAAAACCGCATCTTGGGGAAACGTTTAGATCGCGAGCTATGGCTTGTCAAAGGTAGCCCCGCGCTGTTCGCATATCCTCCACGCGTCTGCCACCGATCCTGTTGCCCCTCCTCCCCCATCCTAAATGCAAATTAACATTCTACTACCCAGCTTTCGTATATATCTGCGTTATAGGTACGTGAAAATTTCAGCAAGTTCGTGATTTCCAGTGGAATTGATGCTTTATTTCCCCCCCCCCCCCCAACCCGGCCACTGGCACTGAAGTGTGCCCCTGCCAACAACGAAATCATTTTATATTTCTCAAAGCTATGTGGAGAAAAATCGTGCGAAATATTTTTTAATTCCTCAGCAGCCTATTATGAATACCCATAATAATGTCGGCCTCTCATGAATGGTAAACGCTCAATACACCGAAAAGTGGTTGGGAGGTGGGATAAAAAATTACCTCAATTCGATCTCGTAGTCACAGGGTGCTACATCAGCAAAAACATGAAACAAGAAAATTTATATATTTCTTTTTTGCACAATATTTGGAGCACAGTGGCCGGGGTGGGGGGGGGGAGCGAAATAAAGCATCAATTCCACTGGAAATCACGAACTTGCTGAAATTTTCACGTACCTATAACGCAGATATATACGAAAGCTGGGTAGTAGAATGTTAATTTGCATTTAGGAAGGGGGAGGAGGGGCAACAGGATCGGTGGCAGACGCGCAGAGGATATGCGAACAGCGCAGGGCGCGCGCGCTCAGCGCGGGGCTAACTTTGACGAGCCATAGCTCGCGATCTAAACGTTTCCCCAAGATGCGGTTTTTTGCATCTTATAGGAAATTGAGTGTAGAATCTAAAAAACTGGTTTTTGTTTTAGTAGAGTCATTGCGCGGTGCCGAAACACGACAAAATTGAAAATTTTGTCTCCTAAAAAATCGAAAAATTGCTAAAAATTTGCATTAAATTTAACTTTTTTTCAATTTTTCTGGTATCAGCAGATAGATCTTTTTGAGATCTTTCATTTAAAAAGAAGTTCAACTCAATCCGATTTTTCGCTCAAAAGTTATAGGCAGTTGAAGGTTTTGTCTTTGACCCCCCGTCCCCCCTCTCTGGGGGGGCCAAAGTCAAAATGACTGCCATATTTGAACGTCTCGCATGCTACTGTATCACTCCTGAAAAGATGGATCATATTTGATAGGGGGCCAAATCTAATGGGGGATGGAACAACCTCTTTCAGAAATTTATGAAAGATGTATCTCTAGTCAAGGATTATCGTTTCACGCTAAATAATCATCCAAACGCTTCATGTATTATTTTGAGGCATTATTTTCCTCGTTTTTTATCAGTCATGTTTTCCACACTATGTATAGAAGTAAAAATCGAGAGTTTGATAAGAAAATGAAGTTTTTTTTTTTTTGTGTTACTTGGCTTTTTTAGTTCGGGTTGCATATCTTGCCTCTGAAATGTTATATAGTTTTTAAAAATCCTACAACCTGGTGAAATTTCATGACATTTTTCACAGAAATTTCCAATCCTTCTCAAACTTTCATTTATGTCACCCTGCTCTTTTTCTCCTATTTTCAAAGTCTAATGGCACAGATTTATTCCAATGTTTCAGACAATTCTAATGAAGCGGCAGATTACTGAAATTGAACGAGAAATAGTCCAAAGATCCACTAAAATATCAGGAAATATCAATAATAACAATAATTGCAACACGAACAACAGCAACAATAACAATAATAATATCTGTAACTCTACCATCAACCCGAAATCTAGTCCTGAAATGAAGCCAAAGACACCCATAATTACTGCAGATGACTTAGATTTGCAGTCTCTTGATCCTCTTGGTAAGAATTTTGAACTATGACTCAAGTTTGTAGGAAGGATTTTCTCAAAGCATACAGTTCAGAGCCTGATCAATCAGTAAAAAATCATCCTAATATTATGAAGTCTGAAGTCTCAACTTGTTTAAAAAAAAAAGAAAGTTGTAATTTAATCTTTGGTCTAGGAAAGTTTTGCTCTCATCGATTTACATAAGTGGTAAATAAATGTTAATAGTGTTACAAGCATCTGTTTTAGTAGCTTCCAAAGGTATGTTTTATGCATCAAATGTCATGATTGTTGAAAATTCCATGTGGAGGGATTTCCCCTTTCTTTGAAACCAGACAAAGACTTGACTGCATAATGCAAAACTAGACAAACTAGAAAAGGTACGAATGTCAGCATTCTGATACATTCTTCTTCACCAAAATTTCATGTAGAAAACGATGCGCACAACGAAAATTACCGAAATCAACTCCTTACGAAGATATTTAATGATTCTTGATGCGTGAATTCAAACCACCCGCTCATGAAAACTCAATGCTCTACGTGATTCACATCGCGCGCTGAACGCTATCATGGCAGTCTCTGCGATATAAAAATCTGGCAACCTTAATCTTGACGCTTCGGTTCAGCTATAGCAAATTGCTTATAGTTTGAACAACACATGGTGGGAAATGAACACTGCTCGATTAAGAAGCTTGGTAAAACCGTTGCAGTGTGCGATTTGACTCACGTAGAGCATTGAGTTTCTTGTGAGCGAGCAGTTCAAATTCTCGTAACCAATGTGAAATAAAAACGTTAGTATCTTCGTTAGGAGTCAGTTTCAGTAATTTTCGTTGCACGAATCAAGTTCTTTGTGAAATTCTGATTAAGGAACATGTATCAGAATACTTGAATTCGTACCTTGTCTAGTGGTCCATTGTGCAATAATCGTGGATTAACTTTTTGTTTGTAACAGCTTGCAACAGAAATAAGGTTGACTGTTTTACCTTTCAGCTAAACTGAAATTTGATAAGGTATCTCTGAAGCTTAACAGTGTAGTGCCCTACCAGCCGCGTAATTTATCTTTAACTTCCTAGCAATACACATCTGGCTGGTTGGTAACATTGAAGTGCCATTACGTGTGATTTTTTCCAAGTTTGATGTGGACATAAATCGTCTTTATAGTCCATTCCACGAAACCTAAGACTTTTTATTTGGCATTAAAATCCGTAAATGGCAACGCATCTCTCTTGGCCTTGATGACCATACCGCTCGCTGGACACCCCCCCCCCCCTCTATTGTGCAGGGAAGAGAGGCCTGCAACCTGTTCATTGTCAGGGTAGAACCGATGGGCACTCTTCAACCCTCCATAAAGAGCTCTATTACCCCGACCGAAATTTTTTTGCAGTTGTAAAATTTATCTTTTAGCATGAAAATTTAGTTCCAAAACAAAATTTTCATAAAAACGCACTGAAGTTCAGTCCAATTATCTTAAATTTAAGCTGACATATGGCATTAGCAAATGACCGTGATTTCCTGCAAATGTCGTTTATTGGCTGTGAATTACGATAATTAGACAGAATTGAAATGCGTTTTCATTGTAATTTTGCGCTGGGACCAAATTTTCATGCTAGAAGATTAATTTTTCAACAGCAAACATTTTTCCGTCCAGGTACTTGAGCTCTTTAAGGAGGGATGATGGGTGCCTATTGTTTCTACCCCAACAATGAATGGGTTGCAGGCCTCTCTTTGAAAGAAACATATCGGAAAGTACTAATTTTTTTGGTTACCGGAAGGAGGGGGAGGGGGTAGGAGTGGGTAAGGTTGCCCCCAACCTCTCAAATTCAAGTGTACCTCTAGGGGTAATGGTGTTTCCTCAATGTAACTTCCTCAAAATCTCAAAAAAAGATGTAAAGATGTGTTTATAATGAGAGGCACCTAGATCTGAGGGGACTGGTGAGAGGAGGGGGAGATTTAGAGGGGAGCCGCATATGGGTGGAAAGAGAATTTAGGACCTTGTTTATAGAAGACCAAGTATGAAAATCATAAAATTCTTCAAAAAACAGAAAAAAAAGCATCACGGCTATCAAATAACCATATATGTACTGTCAATACGGGCCTTGCAGGTCGGGGTTAGTCATTCTAGGGGTAGGCATGAAAAAAATCTAGGGGAGCGAGAAAGTAAAAATTGCTGTGCCTAAAAAAAATGTCAAAAACATTTTTTTTCAAGAATTATGTTCTTCAGAGTTTTTGCAGAGTTATTTGTGAAGGACAGACCTCTTGGACAGTTACAGCTTCCGTGGTGTGAAAAGTAAGAAGCCGCCGGGCCTCGTAGACCTGGTTCGTCATCTAAGGGATGTCTTCTGAACGAAAAAAGATATTGCAATGGATCACACGCAATATCCGGGGAAATTGTGTGTGTCCTTTGCACCAAGTATTTTGGGTTTTGGATTGCTGCGAGTGATGTCTCATGGCCTGTTTTTCGGGGCCGGAGCTAAGTTCGGCTAGCTTCAACTTTAACTCCGGGGAGTCGGCTACGTGTTTTGGGAGAGTGTAAGTTCGTGGAATTTCGATGCCCTAAGCACTCGGAGATTGGCCTGCTTAGTTGTGTTGGGTGCATTTTTGTGGTCACGAAATTCGTTTGTTTGTCGTGTTTGTGTCAGTTCATAAGTGTGATCCCCATCAAAGTCGTGTTAGAGGTTATTTCCCTCGTATCAAGATACGCTGCGCCCCCAAAGCAGACAGGCTCAAGGCTACGGGACCCAACACCCGACTTACCCCGGGTGCATTACAATGTAGAGTTCAGATATTGACAAAAAATCGTCTAAATTTGCATCTTTAAGATTCTTAAGATTGAAATCCGGAAATTACATCTGTCAGTCAACTTATTTGCATTTTTTTTATTTTTGAGTAAAAAAATTACTTTCAAATAAAAAATTCACTAAGATCTCAATGGTTTATTTGAACCACAACCAGTTTTTTTTAAAATTATTTGTCTTTTACCCCATTCAAAGATTGCTCCATCAAGCTGAGGAACCGAACAGTTTGAGAGTTATGAAATATTGAAGTTGCCGCTCCCTGCGCGGTAACTGATGAATTCAAGGGCCGCACTATGGTACCAGAACTTGATTCGAGTGCTATTAAATTAGATTCAATGCTCAAACCGTGCAAAATGAATTTTCAAAGTTTTTCGGGAGTAACTGAGGTCGGAAATTACTGATGCTCCTTCAAAAAAATCATTTTGTTTTTAAAATTACAATATTTCAAATCCAGAACACCACTTTCAAGGCTCACTGATTTGCAGTGTGAACTCGTATCAATCTTCTAAGCTCTCATGATCTTGAACATTTTAGTACAAAAACTTCGGCTCGCGATTAATTTCCTCCTTGTCTTTAGGATCTATATTAAAAGTACTGTTGCAAAGAATATGATTTGCTATGGTTTTCCTAGTTGTTGCCATGCTCTTAAAGATAAACATCTTCAAATTTTACAAAAACCATCCAAAATAATAATGAGATTAGTAGAGGATTTTATCGTCTCAGAAAAGCTTGATAATGTATGCAAGTAATGTTTTAAGGCAAGAGGCGATTCTTAAAAGATTATGGGCAAAAAACATGTTGAAACACTGAAAAAAATTTTTACCTGACTTTAATAAGGCCTCCCGGGATGATTATTTAGCATTATGAATCTGCCGTGTACTACATTTGAGTCCTTCCAATGGGCCACAGGAGCGTTTTTTCATCTGCCAAGCCAGACTTGATGAGTTCAAAAGTATCTATACTGATAGATCATGGGAGTGGAACAGGGTGAAACATTATGAAGAAAATGATAGAAGTAGCATTATGTTAGTATTATTAATGCTGTGTATGTTAATCGGATCTTTCGAAAGATTTATAAAATAATTTTTTTTTTTCAATTATTTCTAGAGTAGTAAATTTCTAATGGCTTTGAATACGAGGACTCTCAATTTTTTTTTAAAATTCGAGATCAAACAAAAGATATTGTTTGGTTCCAATTTTTATTTATTCTGTGTTTATTTTCAGGTTCAGTATGCACTACTCTTCCTTCCACCCCCACAGAGTATGGGAACTATGATAGACATCACAAGGATTCTTCTTTTACCTCTCAGCAGCTTTGCGATTCAGGTGGTGTTGAAGCTGCAATAAAAGATATCAGACTTACTCTCCAACGCACCAGAACTCTTCCTTTACCTCCTCCTTTATCAAACGACATGATAGAAGAAAATCTTGAAACTCATCAACCAGTTACCCCCGTTTGGATACCCAGGTCTGTTCAGAGTACCTATAAGTCCCTCTATGTTAAAGAAACTTTGTTAGGAACCTGAGAGTCTTCAATTTAGTTAAAATTTTATGCACAGGGTCAATTTTATAATTTCAACAGTCATACAAGTAAGAATCGCTGAAATGAGCTGTAGAATTTATTTAATCCTTACAAGTCGATATCTTGGTAAAGAAGTGTAATAGGAAAAACCTTTTAATTAGTGTTATGAAATGAGAAACTAATGCTGCACACTAATTTTGAACTAAATAAAATTGGAAATGGTCAGGTTCCTGGCGTAGTCTTTTTGACTTGGGATGACTCTAACTTATCTTTTTGTCATCCATGTTTTTCCATTGTAAGGTTGTCAGAGGCTTTTGATCAGTGGAGAAGTAACATACCTCTTAACCAATCAGGAGCCAGGATTTTCTTGTGCGATTTTCAAGGGATGGGAAGAAAAAGGATTTCAGCACAACAAACGAACAGAATAGGTAGAAGTTTCGGCAGGTACAATAAAACTTCCCAAATTTAATTTATAAATTAGAAAATAACGGTTTCTGTCCACTTTAATTCACACTTCCTGCCCACAAACTAAACTGGAGTTGACTCGTGTCAAATTGAGCACCAGAGTCATTTTGGTGTATTATAAAAGGGGAGAGTTCTCCTGTGTATTAAATTTTTTGACAAAATTAAAAATACCATGTATCAGGAAAGGAAGTAAATGTGTGAGAAACCAAGCTCTAGCTAAAAAAATGAATGCCTAATTGGGCCTATGAGGAGATTATTGTTTTCTCTTGAGCGGGAAGTTCAAATTCACTGCTTATAGTGTAAATTACCAAAGTAATTTTCGAAGTTGGTAGTTATCACTGTAAGTTAATTTTGTTAGCTTCTGATATGTTCAACGTGTTTTGTGTGAAATTTTGATGAGAAAAAACCCCTCCAGGCCACACCCCGTGCAAGTGTGGTCCATTGGACGCTCTATCCTCCCGTTGGATGTCCCTAAGGCACTCTTCGAACGGCAGTCCCCAACCCCGGTCCCGGTAAAGCCGGCGCCCCTCAGGCCCCCCACTTGGGGGAGGGTCCCCCCATCCCCCAGGACCGATTTGCCGAAGCCATCATTGTACCCGGAGTCATGGGTGAAGGAGGAGAGCCTAGGCCCAGCTTGCGCCAAACCCTGCGGCAACCCCACGACAGGGCTTTGGAGCCGAGGACTGGAGGGCAGGGAGGGCAGACCAGCTACGTCTCGCTCAGCCCTCGAGGCATCCGATCTTATGCGGCCCCAGAAGGGGGCAGCCTACACATGACTCAGCTCTGCGGGTGCGTCGAACCCGATATCCCCACTTGGATAGCCTGCAGTAAAGAGGGCCAGAGACCCGAAGGTTTCTGACCCACAAGAGGCATTCGTTAACATCAAGGTTGTCCTTTTTGGCGGTGATCAGTTCTACGGATGGTTACACATTGAATGTTGTCCGCTGAGCTACGCACTGTAGTCTCCGCGTTATCCGAACTAATTGGGACCGGGCTGGTTCGGATAATCGATGGAACACCAACACCAAATAATAGACAATGAATTAGAGCTCTTACCTCAGTTGCATTGGTTGAAAGTAGAATGTGATTCGGCGTTGCTTCTGTGCCGCAGCGTGTTTTTGAGCCGCCAGATCACGCCAGCGATGGAGGAAAGACATATATGCAGCTGCATATTTCTCCTGTTCGGCAACATAATTAAGAGCATCCGTAAAAGCTTCGAAGCCGTCTGAGTGCAAGATGAACATTTGGTCCGGAACCTCCTCTTGTACTTCATCTGTGTCATCTTCCGGGTCAGCAACCATGTCAATAATTTCTTCGCCAGTGAGGGTCTGGATTGCGTCAGCTGCCATCCAGTTAGACACGTCTGTCAATTTTTCTGTCATCCGGAATCGCTGCAGCAAATTCAATAATGTTTAAGGCAGCATTGTCTATATCGTCGTAATTTACCTTGTGATCAAGCAAACGTTTCCAAGATTTCACAAGAGTAAGTGGGGAAATATTATCCCTAGCATTTGAAAACCAATGGATGACATCTACAATATCAATGACTTTCAAGGCTGCCAGCGGATCTATGTTGGCAAAATTGTGCAAAATATTTATTTTAATTGGTTCTACAGAGTTGATATCGGCACTCAGTATCTCACCCACAATTCTGAGTCGTCAAACACTATGATGGGATTTGAATCGGTTCAGGAGCCCCTCTGACATTTCTATGTTTAGACCCTCTATCTTCGTTACAAAATGAGCCCATTTCTCTTTGAGTATGGGCCCACTCAAGGGGATGCCTTTTAATCTAGCGTCATTCATCCACATGTACAAGGCATCCTCCACTTTTTCATATTTGCCGGACTTCATGGACTTTCTCATTTCTGCCAAACAACTGTCAAACTGTTTTGTAGCTCATTGTTCTAGAGTTTTTCTTCTTTTCCTCCAGCCACTCACTGTGCTTTTTCCAACGCCAAATTCGTCTGCTATTTTATTATTTGTTTGCTACAGTTATCACAGTCTTCTTTCTTTTCGTTGTCGATTGTAATTCTCCCCACACTCCTTCTGTCGCTTTCCTTTTGCTCATTTTTTTTTTTACCGAACAGGATGTGAAACTATAGACCCAAAAAAACAAATAATATGACATGAACAAATAAAAAAATATGCGGAACGAAAGAAAACCGAAAAAAACCGAGCCCAAGACAAACTAATTAAACACGAACGGAACAAAACCGACGGAAAACCTAACTTAACTAAACTTAGCACAACGTCAAACTAAAGAAGTCACTAAGAAGTCACTCTGGACCCGGTCGGCAAGGTACTAATTAAATAACAAGCGCTGCCTTCCGGTTCACTACTCGACCTTTGCACTATCAGGTGTTGCACCCGAAACAGTCCGGCACGGCCCGAAATTCGGCCGCGCGTGCTCGCCAAATCAGTTTGGATAATCCGGAGTTCGGATAATACCGTGTTCAGATAACCCGGAGACTACTGTATAACTACTCTGCATCTCAACGGATTTCAATGGACTTTTTTTTTAAAATGTTCCTCTTAAATAGAGCTTTCTATCTGTGTACAATGTATAGTTGTTTGGGCTTACTTGGCACTGGGCGGCCACAACGCGGTTTTTGGTAAACACAAAAAGTTGTGTTTGTATGAATTTCCTAATGAACCGTTAAAATCGCATAAGTGACACCCAGTGCTGGGTATACCTATTAACCTATGCACCATGGAAAAGCTGTATCAAGGGTGAAATTTTAAAAAAGAGATTATCTAATTAGAGTCAAATGCAGCAGGTTTATGAACTTATAAAAATTTTCACTTTAAATAATGGCAACGTTGCAACCTAGAAGCCTTAGCTAAAAACTGTCTGATTCAGATGTCTGACTGTTCCTTGTAATGAATGGATCATTAGAGAGACCTGCCACACAATTAATTGAACGCCGTGAAGCCCTATTAGTGGTTTCTGATTGTATAAAAGCAACATTGGCCAACTTTGAGCGGTCGTAGCTCGGAAACTAGACCTTTTTCTGGGATGATCTTGTGTTCGTTAGAAAGGTGAACAGCTTAAGTTTCATTTAGATTGGTTTTTGTTCAGATTCCGTGGATTTCAAGACTGTAGTAAAATGAAAATTCCTACAAAAACAAATTTTTGTGTGTACCACAAGCTACAAGAACCGTGCAAATCCAAAAAAACTATACACAGTTGGACCGCATTTAACAGAAAAGAACCAAGCCACATCAGCTATTGCCAAACTTAACTGGGCAAGTTAATTTTTCACAAGAGAAAGTTTGTGTGAATTCCTTGGAAAATTGTAAGGAATTATAGTAAATTTCAAGCAATAATTTTGCAGTTTTCAGCAATAATTTTAGGTTTTTCAGTGAGAATTTGGGTCTTTATTAATCTTGAGAAGATGAGGTCTCTATCGATTTTCATTGCTGGCTTTATTTATCACATCAGGGTCACTATTTTGTCTTGAAGAATCGAGAATATTATTCCTGCTCAATCTAAACAGTGACAGATGTAAAAGGCAATTGAATTGGTACGGACAGAAGCACAAGAGAACAAGGTCTGGAGCCTATATCAGCTAATATTTTCGAACTGTTGTCAAACAACTTTTGATCTCAGCCACCTCCCTGATAAAATTTTAGCAAAAGTAAAGTCACTGATAATTTTGTTGTTTTTCTCCCTTCACAGGAAGAAGAGTGGACAAATCGTGTCAGGTGCAAGTGGAGATGAAGGTAATGTATTTTTGCTCAGCTCTATTTTGTGATGCTTTTTTCTTGTGAAAGTAGGAATATTATCTTAAAAAGTAAAAAGTAAGAATATCATTTTCTTACATGAGAAGTACAGAAAATCCTGAATCTTGCAATCTACGAAGCACAAGAGACATCAGGTTAATCTCAAAGTTGAACATGGACATGTCTCAGAACAAATAGCAAAGTCATAATCGCACCCATAGAAATGACTACGTGCAAAACGGGCCATTTAGGGTTCGGGGCGGATACCTTTGAGACTTGCCCTATTCATTCATCTAACAATGCCCCATCTTTTCCCAAAGTTTCAAGCCCCCCAAAAATTTTGGGAAGACGCGGCGGGGGGTCAAAGTTATAAACCGGCAAAATTTTCGCGAATTCATGACTCGAAAACCAAGAAGTTTTGGAAAACGCGGTTTAAACGAGCGTATTCAGCGTGACGAGAGCTTTCAGAAACTGTATAACATCATAGAGTTTTGTCAACTTCAGCTTGAGTTATCGACTCCGAAGCACCGGAACACTCGAAAAAGACCCCTTATTTTTTAACGTTTGGGCCGATTTAAAAAAAGTCATTTTTTTATTTTGATGAAAACTGATATGTTGTTTCTGACTCTCTGTAGCCCCTCTAGCTCTTTACCGCATGCTGGGGAAATGTTTTGGTTGCGAGTTATAAGAGCGAAAAGGAGCGAAGGTCGGGGAAATCGGCTATTTTAAACTGCGCGCGCGGCGTTGATCGGAAGGAAAACGTCCCCTCCCTCTCAGTTCGGCGAATCACACTCCTCTGCGGACCTCGCATTGTTGCCACATGTCTCCTGATTCGTCGCCGCGCGACCTAACCTAGCTTTGACCCCCCGCCGCATCCCCATAAAATTTTTGGGGGGCTTGAAACTTTGAGAAAAGATGGGGCATTGTTAGGTGAATGAATAGGGCAAGTCTCAAAGGTATCCGCCCCGAGCCCCAAATGGCCCGTTTTGCACGTAGTCCTTTACAATTTTAGGATTGTTTAATAGTGTGATCATGCCATCTTCATCTACTTATAGCCCGAGGCTTCTGAGGAATCGGTCAGATTGCATTGAAAGTAGAGTGAAAATAGGTTTGTGATCCAACAAAGGGAGTTTCCCAACTGAAATTTATCTTCGGGATCTTACTGGAGATGGAGGTAACCTGTATTTTCTTGCTTTTCAAATGAAGTTTGAAAGGCTCAGAAAGCTATCCAGTCAGGGAAATGGAGGGTAGCAATGGTTCCATGCGTAATGACTGATGTTTCCAAATTCATCTTACATAAATTATCTGGGATTCATTCTTACTATATTGAATGGCACTTCATAGGAAACACTAAAATTATGGCGTGTATACCGTTAAACAGGAAGTTAAGAATAACACCTTTTGCCTTCAGATGTATAATTAAAGATGAAAGAATAGGAATTTTTCCTTTTCATTGGTTTTTCAATTTTGTCCAGGAGGAACTGATGAAGCTGACACTGACTTGGAAACAGACCGTCTTTTGGGTCAGCAAAGAACTGACGACCAAGGTTTCTTTGATGATGAAATGGTATGATTTTTTCCTAACTTCTTTTATTTCATTATTAATTTTTTCATTATCATTTATATCTTAACTAAATCCTATCTGTATCTATGACTGTTCGTACGAAAATTAGTCGCGCTTTTGTGGAAATCGTGATACAGTTCAGTAACTTTCAAGGGTCAAACTAAATAATATTATAGCGTTGCAGGTCAAAGAAACAATTTCGTAGTAGAACCAAAATGATGGTTTTTAAAAATGGCAGCCCAGCAAGTTATTTAAACCCCCCTATCTCAGCGCTCTACTAATAATTTTTTTTTCTTCTTCTAAGGTATTCTTAAGTTGAGGAAAGTTGAGTTGCAGTTCGCTCAGATGCTCATTACATTTGGCAACTCTGCAATTAGCTGGGTACCACTATTTACGTTTGACAACCCTGCAAAGAGCTGGTGGGTTCAGAGAAGTATAGAGCAACTGGACCTAACCTAACCTGGACACACCAGGCGCGTGCCACAACGGCAGCTTACAGGGGTGTCCCCTCCATAAGCGTTAGTTTTGTTATTCTATGGTGTTGACAGCTCATCTGGTTCATCTGAGCCGTAGACAAGTTTCAACTTGATCGTCGCCGGCTCTCATTTGCTGTTTCCGCAGACTCCGCTGCTCGAGTGTCGATCGACTGCACATAGTTCTGTTTGACAGAACGCAGTAGCCCGGCTAGCGCATTAAATCAAACGAAACCACACATAGTTTTGTCTGCTTTACTTCGTCATCCTCCATTCTCAGTTTTATGATTTTTCATACACTGCTCCTACGGGATGAAAGGAGTTTTTTAGGGATACAATTATAACTCTACTTAGCTTAAGTGATGGAAAACCCAAATCCATCAGAATCTGGAAATAAAGTTTTGGCGCTTAGTTCCGTTTGATAGAAATACGTCCAATTTCATTATTCAATCCTTAAAAATCGTCAGAATCCACATTTATAGAATTCTCAATTTTTGATAAGCAATTGATCCATGGTCTTTGAATGTGTAATAGCTAAATTCACTGGGGTCATTCCCATGTCAGAACAACCAGGTTCAAAACCCAGCCCTCCCTCCCCATTTTGGCTCATACATGACGTACAGGGTTTAAACACCACATCTACCATTCCCTGAATGAATGTTTGTGAACCGATTTTCCTGGTGGAAAGCGAATATACCTCTTAAAAAGTGAGCGGAAAGTTACTGAAATGACCATCATTTAGAGAAAATTCATTCACTTTTAAGATTAATGATTTTTTTGCCATTCATTATTCAAAGTTAATTTTGGCCCATACTGAACATTTCAGGGTGTCTAGCGACCGGGAAAGTCAGGGAAAGTCAGGGAGAAGTCAGGGAAAGTCAGGGAAGAAGAACACAAAACCGGGAGAGAAGCGAACTCCCGTCGAAGATCGCGATTTTTTGCATAACTTTACGGCGCTTCGATATTTAGCCGTGCAGCGCTCTCTCCTGGTCTGAGGTGCCATCTGAACCGTTAGCACTGACATAGAATAAAGAGACTACGTAGCGTAGTCTCTTTATTCTATGGTGCTAACCAGTGGTGCTCCCTCTCTCTATCGCTTTGTTGCGTCCGCGACGCCTCCTTTAGCGTCCACGACACCTCTGGAAGTGTCCGCGACGCCTCCTTCAGTGTCCGCGACATCTCTGGAAGTGTCCGCGACGCCTGTGGAAGCGTCCTCGACAAGTTTTAGGCATCCGCGACGCCTGTGGGACTGTCCGCGACACCTCTTGAAGTGTCCGCGACGCCTTTTGAAGCGTCCACGACGCCTTTAAAGCGTCCGCGACGCCTTTAAAGCGTCCGCGACACCTCCTTTAGCGTCCGCGACACCTCCTTTAGCGTCCGCGACACCTCTGGAAGTGTCCGCGACGCCTTTTGAAGCGTCAACGACGCCTTTAAAGCGTCCGCGACGCCTCTTTTAGCGTCCGCGACACCTCTGGAAGTGTACTATTCTTTCCTCTATTTATTTAATTATCGAAGTTGCAAATTTCTATAAGGTTTTTTGAAGTAGTAAGCAAAGATCTTCCAAAGCATTACCATTAAGTACAAATTATGATGGTATAGTGGGAGGAAGAAAGGAATCTTTTTTATGAGAGTCTATGTTGACACCCAAGGACCCTAGAAAGGTTTTTACTCTTGAAATGTTATCCATTGCTTTGAAGGGTGGAAAACATCATACAGACTGAAAGGAAATTTTGGTAAAAGGTCATGGAAAGTCAGGGAGAAAGAAAATTCGATAGGTCAGGGAAAACCTTGAAAGTCAGGGAGAATGAAAAGAAAAATTTGCTAGACACCCTGCACTTTATCAACCGAAATTGAGAATAGAATCTTGAACGAGTATCCGGTCATCCTCTTAATTATCTTTTTGAATCTTTAAAAATTATTCTTTTGCCTCTCTCTTAATCTGGTTTGCTGAATGCCCCTCTTGTATTTGGCGATTTTCACTGATGCATACCTTTTTGTGTCAAAAGCAATCACGACACAGATTGTTGGCATGTGTAAAAATTTTATTCTGTTGTTTCAAGGGTGTCTCCTGATGAGATTAGCAAAATCCCCTGTCTATGGATTTTTATTTTAACCATCTCAAGTCATTTAGAGGGTCCTAAAACTTAGGTTTGGGGTAATTTTGGCCTCCAAACCTCGCCCATCTCAACTCTAAGGATTCTTAAAACCCTTTATTGGGACTCTTTTGAGTCACTATTTACACTTTCATTCATATTCTCTGCAGTTGTTGATGGATTTGAGCCTTTGAACAATTTTTTATCATATGGTGTGATCTCTTAAGAAAATAATTCAAGGTCACTGAATCATTTTCTGACATTGAAAAGAAAAAAGAAATTGTTTAAGATTCGGCATTAATTTTCATTTTCAGCCGATTGAAAGAAAAGAAATGCACTCAACGATAAGCTCGCAGAGCATGTACTTGTCTTCCTGAAAAGTTTCTAGTCCTTTTTATTATTGGTGCTTTTTTCTTGCTACTGGGGCAAGTGGCCAAGAGTTCTGTTTCTGTTGGTTTAAGTTCTTATTTTATCTTTTTTCTTTTTCTCATCATGTAAGTCTAGCTCATTTTTTCACTCCCTTCTTCATGCCTCCAAACGAGACAACCCCTGACCCTGGGGGTTCCTCACCCCAAACTCCTCTCTCTGATAATGAAAATTCAGAAACACCCGTCGTAGTTAGTAACCCGACACACCCATCTTGAATCTAAATTATGACAATACTACAACAAAGATCTCCAGAATTGTCAGTACTCAAGACCAATCTAACCTTAAACAAGTCAACCCTGTGGCGACAAAAAAAAAAGAAAAGAAAAAAAAGGAGAATAACCCCCCTCTTCTCAGAAGGGAGGGTTTGGAGGGGAAGAAGAAAAAGATGACAGACAAGGGCAGACTGGCCAGACCTGTCAAGATTCGGCCAGACCGTAACTCTTTCCCTTGTCTGAAGAAAAATAATGAGACAACCCCTAGGGCTAACTTGCCAGACCGTGCCTCTTGCTTTAAGGAAAGGTAGATAGACGAAGAGGAGGATTGAAGGAGCTGATTGGCCGGACCAATCAAGCCAAGCAGCCAGACCAAGCCTCTTGCTCTTTCGGAAGAAAAAAAATGGAATAAAGACGAAACAAAGGTAAAATAAAGTGAGACCCGGGGCGGGGGGCTAATAAAAAATATAACAATAATGATAGGGGAGGAATGACAAAATAGCCAAATGCGCTCATAATAAATCAGTTTTTATATCAGGAAAATAGTACAAGAAACAATGGGGATAAACCAGTGGCTTGACAGTAATAAAAAGAGAGAGAGGAAGGAAAAGAAGTAGAACGAGAAACCGACTGACTATAATAAATTGTACAGGTCCGGCTAAACTGTACTACAGAAATAAAGATAAAAGGAACTAGTCAGGATAACGAACTACAATAATGAACACAGAGGATTTGTCGAGCAGGCCATGCCGTGGGCCTAAGCGAACACAGGATGCAACACTGAAGAATGAGTAACTCAAAAAAAAGAAGACTCTCACCCGCAAATCGACCGGAGCGGAGCTCATGAAAATAAATCTAGTTGGCCCCAAAAGGGGACCAACTCACAGAGAAAATGTACTCACATTTTGATGGGATTTAAGAGAAATTCCGGAAACGGAAATGGAAAAGCTCACTCTTCGCACATCTGCAGCTCGAATACGGGAATCTGTCTTCTCACGCGCAGACGCCCAGAACCCAACGGCGGGAAAAATTTGAAATGTAGGAGTGAGTGGGGAGAAGGAGGGGGGACCCATTGTACAAAATATCCAATTGATTACCTTCTCAAATCTACAAAAACCTACCTGACCGACTTAGCCAACAACTACAACAACAAGAAAATCGAACTCCGTGCGCCACGGCCGCTCTCGCAGATCTAATTTTGCAGTGGCGACAAGGGAAGCTCACAGCCTCCGGAGCGCCTTGGGCCCGTGTTGGAGGTAGCTGAAACAGCACACTGCCCTGTCGCCGAAAAAACAAGTGTTTTCTAGCGGAAAAGGACAGGCGCTGACCCTATCTCTCACTCTGCCCGGAAACGCTGCGGGAACTTCCGAGGGTACGAGGGCTGTCCCAAAAGAAACCGGACTTTTGTCATAGAGGGCGAACCGAGCGTCGTAATGAAGTTTTCTTGGGCTTGTTTGAAAGCTGATAAGCTACTGAAGATGCTTGTTTTTACAGAATGCAAAAATTCGTATTGGTAAGGAAACTACACGCTTTGGAATAAAGGAAAGTCAAACTCGAGTTGCGATTTTTGTCTTCATCTCAAGACAAATTTAGATACAACTTTAAAAAAACCCAGGTTTTAAGTTAAAAACTTCGTTGCTCTCTTATTCAAATGCTTAAAAATAAGGAAATTAACATTTTAAGCAGCTTACCAAGTCATCACCTATCCCCTTCAAAATACTTGCCAGCTTTGTCGATGCATTTTTGCCACTGTTTCTTCAATTGGGAGAAACACTGTTGGAAATCCTCAGATTTGATTGATCGCAATTCCTACAGGGTGTTCTCTTGGATTTCCGGAATGGTTTGAAAACGTCGACCTTTCAAGGTAAATTTAAGTCGTGGAAACAAGAAAAAATCACACCGAGCCGTTCAGGTCACCTTGAAGGAATTGCGATCATTCAAACCTGAGGATTTCCAACAGTGTTTCTCCCAATTGAAGAAACGGTGGAAAAAAATGCATCGATAAAGCTGGCAAGTATTTTGAAGGGGATAGGTTATGACTTGGTAAGCTTTTAAGCATTTGAATAGAGCAACAAATTTTTAACTTAAATCCTGGGTTTTTCTTAAGTTGTATCTAAATTTGTCTTGAAATAAAGACAAAAATCGCAACTCGAGTTTGACTTTCCTTCATTCCAAAGCGTGTAGTTTCCTTACCAATACGAATTTTTGCATTCTGTAAAAACAAGCATCTTCAGTAGCTTATTAGCTTTGAAACAAGTCCAAGAAAACTTCATTACGACGCTTGGTTCGTCTTCTATGACAAAAGTCCGGTTTCTTTTGGGACAGCCCTCGTATTTCCCTGCTCACCACAACCTTTTATTCGCTAGGAAAGCCTATGTCATCATAAACATTCATGAAATCCAATATGATGACCATAACCTAGGTCTTTATGTAGTATCTATTAGTAAACCAGGGACAAGCAACAAGCATGTTACCTTAATAGGAGAACTCTAGTTCAAGAATAAAATTCAATGGACCAAAAAAAAAAGGAGAAAGTAAACAAGGACCTTATCAACTTAGAAATGTTTTCGAGTCAACAAGCCAATATCTTACTGAATAACTCAAACCACTGTCTTCCCTATGAATCAGCTAGGACGTTTACCCCTCTCCCCCTCAAATATATTACGAAAATAGTCAATATTGTCCATACGCGAATAAGAATAGAGTCAATAGGCACATACCTTAAGGAGAAGTACAATAAAATTATCAGTGTAAGAAGAATTTACAAAAAAATTGGCCTTCGGCCCATTTATGCGCGGTGCCTCTCTCCACGAACCGGCACCGGCGGGCATATNGGGGGGGGGGGGGGGCTCGGCCCGCCCACCGCTTCGCGGTGTGGTGCAGAGACAACACATAAACTTTCTAGCTCAAGTCGGCGTTTCGCGCCGGCCTCGTAAAAGGTCGCAAAGTCAGCATCAAGGCACGGCTTTAACATGGAATCTTTAATTGAACTAGGTACTGATCTATTTCTCATTGCCGTAACTATTTTCAGAATGATCTTAATATTAAAATAAAAAAATGAGTTTAGTGACTTATTTGGACCTAGAATCATGATGCGGGATTTATAGAGCCAGTAATACTTAAGGCGTGTCAGCGGGATTTGGACCCCAGTCTTATCGGCATGCAGGCGTGTGATTGATTCATACTATGTGAGTACCTAAGTGGTCGTCTAATTTTGCATGATATATACGGAGTAATTTTAGAGATAATACATTTGAAATCCTAGGTTTCACCTGATCCAAAGCACTTGCTGCTAATACTCAGGAGTGTTTCGACTCATTTATTGGAGGATTGACCATTTGCTATTGGCCCCTCTTCAATTTTGAGATTAGTCCAAAAATCATTTAGGAACTTACATGAATGATCCAGATGGTGTTTTGTGCAAATTCCAAGGAATTAAAGGCCTTTCTACAAAATCTGCAGTTCGTCAAAGTGAGCTTTCCGTGTGAATTTGATAAAAATCAAGTTTTAGCCCTAGCCCCCCCCCCCAACTTTGGCGTACCCCATAATCACTTAATGTGCATAAGGAGAACATAGATAAGGTTCTCCATGCAAAATGAAATTGAACAAATAGAACTTGAGATATGGCTGTACACAGAAAAAGGGTACACTGACGGACAGACATACATTATTTCAAGTATGGTTTTTTTTTACTCTAGGCACCTTAAAACGCCTAGAAATGATGAAATTTCAATTTTTCTTTTTTTTTGGACGATGACAATACTTCTACCCGCGAGGGGACCGAGAAAGTAAAAACAAAAGGTAATGCTATAATCCCAACCTCAAAATTAGATGTCCTTTGGCCAGGCACTGTCTGACCTGATTTTCTTTATATTTTCTTCTCACAATGCACCATTTCCCCATACATTTATAGTTGTACAAAGTTATTAAGTTAGTAAGTTATTTATAGTTATATAGTTTATAGTTCTATAAAGTTCAGAATCCTTTAGAGGTAACCCGAATCCAAGATGGCCACCAGAAATTTCCGCATTTGGGTCCAAACTCCGGTAGATACCGTTTTGTATGGAGTGGGGTGTCCTTCATAGGGTATTTTTGGTCTCAACATCAAGGTCAAGAACTTAAGACAGGTCCATTAAAGCCAAAAAATTCAATATGGTGACCAAAATGTCTGCTGTTACGGAGCTAATTATTTCACCGAGGCTCATATTGACAAGTGAGGTGTCCCTACATAGGTTCTTTTGGGTTGTAGATTCCATAAATGAGGTCCTAACAACATAATATGTTCATTGAAGTCCTCTAAAAACCAAAATGGTGACCAACATGGAGCTGCCCCTTTTGGAACTGAGTTTGATAGAAAAGCCCCTCCCAAAGGACCTCAAAAACCCTTTTTTGGAATATTTTGAGGTTCTTAGGGAGAGGCAGATGGGTTGGGAAGCCAAGATTGCTCGAAACTTCAGTTATAGGATCCCCTCGATGACTTGAGATGGTTAAAATAAAAAGGACAGGAGATTTTTACTACTCTTAGCAGGGGATACCCTTTGGCAGACATCCATATGATGAATCGCCGTAGGTGAAGGGCTATGTAGTTTTTGATAGCCTCTCCTCCCATGGAGTGTGATCCAAGTTGCAAATTAAAGAGTTTGGGTCAATTTGGCTCCTTTTTTGTACCGGGCGGTCCCTGTATTTTACACTTTAAAGTAATCATTTGTGGATTTGCTTTTACTGAAAAAAAGTCTGACTTACTTGTATGCAGTTTAGTCAAATAGTGCACCATTTTCATCCATGACCAAGTTTATCTCCTAGTCGCTTTCAGGGACACCGCACTCAGTGATAATTGCTTGCCGTCCCGCAGGGGCTAATGTGTGCATGGACAGCTTCAGTGATGAGTGTAGACTATGACTCACAGTCACCCTTGGTCGGACATAGAACGAATTGTTTTGTTAGTCGCTACTTTTCTCAAGAATGCTTTTTGCCCGGCTTTCGCCCCAGATGGGATGGCATGCATCAAATCTAAAATTCCAGCACTAGACAATATGGGGTGCCAGGGCTGGATTAACCGTAGGGGCAAAGTGGGCCTGTGCCCACAGCGGCAAATGAAAAAAAAGCAGAGCCCTGGTTCTTAGGTTCCGAATTCATATTCAGTATTACAGCTAGGTGTCCCATTGAGTTTTTGAATACATATACGTTCTGTGTTGCCTGCCAGCCCCTTGTAGTGTGTCAAATGATGAAATTCGCCAATATTTTAATGATATACGTTGATTTAATTCAAGCAACTTTTCCAGTTCACAGAAAAGGATCAAGTCTGTAAGGACATATATGAGAGAGAATGTGATTTTCAGAATTGACGGGTTTTGGTTTTCCTCTCTTCATTAGCCTATGATGAGGGTAAAATTAAAACGTGGTTGTGTGTTAGTTACTTTTGAGCTTCTTGAAACGAACTTTGCTAGATTTGTAGTCGCCTAAAAGTACTTTTAAATTGAAAAAAAAAAAAAAAAAAAAAAAAAAAAAAAAAAAAAATAGAACATGATGATTAGCTTTTGTACTGTGAGGAGCCAAAGGGAGGGGAAGTTTAACTTAGACGCCGCTATAATTCAAGTAAGAATGCATTTTTACATTGAAATTTTGATGATATTTAAAAGTCCATGGAGACTAGTTTTCCAGTGAAGTTTTGCAAAATCGGCTGATACAATCTATAATAGCAGTCATTTATAGTTTTTTATGAATCAAGGGAATGATGAAATACTTAATTTGTGAAAATTTGTTGAAAATACACTCATCTAAGGGTAAATGTGTGGACCAAAAATATAATTGTTGTGTTCGCTTCTCCTACCAGGAGTTCACGAAGCATTGTGCAGGTAATTTTTTTAGAAAAAATATTTCAATTAACCTTTATTTTCAACTTTCCTTGAAGTTTAACGTTTTTAATTATTTTGGTATCCACTGGTATCTATTCAGAATTGGAAAAAACCTAAATCCAGAATATCATCCAGAAGCCTATTGAATAACTCTAACAATTGTGCTAGTGGAGACAGAACACCTGCTTCACCTCTGTCATCCCCTCTGACTCCTCCTACTTCCAATACCAATAATATGGGCAAGGTTTGTCCTCTTTTTTTGTTATGTTGTATCTTTTTCTGTAGATAACTGGATTTTAGAGTAATTGGACGCTTAAATTTATCCCATGAGTTTCATTTTGCTGCTTTCTACCTTCAACTTATAAGTTGTAACTTGCTTTCACATTTACTGCTTTTCCAGTCTCTAACAGTGTATATATTATGTATTCTTTGCGCCCTCGGTATTCAAAAGTCCTAATTTTGTCTGCAATTTAGTTCCCCTCAGCCAAGGAGTATGAAGTCTTTTTATAAGAAGTTTAAATGTGTAGGAGGATGTTGTATTTTGACCTTTGCTTAGTTTGCGTTTGTGATGCCATTTTCTATTGAAAATATAGTCTCATGTATGATTCATCAGAATAATTCTAATCCAGTGAAGTTCTTCGGGATCTTGAATTACTAAAATAATTGCCCTACACACTACCTTCAAATGATTAGAGACTTGATTTGTTCGCAATCTCTTTATCATAGACGTACAGGGTGATCTAAAAATCCCTCCTACATCTATTTTTTATCTAATCTAGGTAAATATTTGAAACTTAAGGGATATTCCTATGTTAAAGGGAATCTCTTTTTTTTCGTCTTTTTTTTCTGTTGGTTCAATGGCTCATATCCCTGTGGGGCCTACAGCTAACCACAGACAAATTGAAATGACATAGAGGTGTTTATGTGATAAAAGTGGTATAATTTAGATTGAGGGGTGGGTTGGAAAGAGAAAAGGGGGATTTGGAGAAATGTTAGAGGAGCTAAACTATCACCGTCTTTGCACCATAAGGCTCATTAAGGTGACTTCCAAAGAAACTGAGCCCTGGAAAACAGACAAAAGGACTTGTAGGAAGAGATTGTTCGGGAGTTGGATGATTGTGTGATGATGAAATTGAGAGAAAGTTTTGATGATTCCTAGGCGTAAACCTAAGTGGTCTCCTCCAACTGATATTTAAGTATGAGAGGGTTTTTTCATAGCGAAAAAAAACGAGCTAAGACGTTGCAATTTATCCCAAGAACTCTTCATGACTCCTATAGTCTGTCCAAGATAGGAAGGACCGTAGAATGGCTGAATTAATTACACTATTTTGCAGGGTGGGGTTGTCTAGACCCTTCTCAACTGGACAGCTTTATGCAATAAGGAACTAGGGTCAAATTTCCGATTTTCGTCTTATGATGAATTCCGTATCAGGAGGGTATTTACGCACTAATGAGGAAAAGAAAATCTTCAAAAACAATTTTAATCCCTCTTCAGCAACCCTGGAAAAATTAGCCACTGCAGGATCCTGCAAGGCTCATCTTGCAATGGACCACTAGACAAGGTACGAATTGAAGTATTCTGATACATGTTTCCTAATCAGAATTTCACGTAGAGCACGATTCGCGCACCGAAAACTAATGAAGCAAACTCCAAACGAAGATATTAACGTTTTTATTTCACATTGGTTACGAGGAATTTGAACTACACGCTAACAAGAAACTCGAAGCTCTACGTGAGTCAAATCGCGCACTACAACGGTTTCAACAAGCTTCTTAATCGAGTAATGTTCATTTCCCACCATGTGTTGTTCAAACTATAAGCAATTTGCTACAGCTGAGCCAAAGCGTCAATATTGAGGTTGCCAGATTTTTATATCGCAGAGACTGTCATTATAACGTTTAGCGCACGATGTGAATGACGCAGAGCATTGAGTTTTCATGAGCGGGTGGTTTGAATTCACGCATCAAGAATCATTAAATATCTTTGGAAGAAGTTGATTTCGGTGATTTTTGTTGTGCGCGCAAGCCCGCCACAAGGGGGGGGGGGGATATTGGGTCCCTGGCACCGGGGCCCGTGACGCAGGTGACAAACCACTAGGTACGAATTCATGTGTAACCCTTGTCTCGTAGGGAAAAGTGAAAAAATTACCCTAAAAATTCCGCAAGAGGTGAATATAGTTTCAAAAACACGCTAGGGCACTATAAAATTTTTCTTACTTTTTTAGAGATTTTCAAGATTTTGAGTATACGTAGAATGATATTTTTAGTAACTGTGTTTCATTTTCTTCCGTTGTCGGATGCTAAGAGGCTCCTTTCTGGGCATCCTCGACTTCAATGGCTTAACTCCCTTGCCATAGACGTACGAAAGGGGAGTCCAGGGGGTCCGGCTCCTCATAGAATTGAAAATTATCATCTGCCCCCTCAAAAAAAAAATTTATACATGTTTTGAATGCAACAATTCGAAAGTTTTTGGTGCTGAAAGTAAACAAAAAGGCGTAATTATTCTGTAGAAATTGATGGAGAATCTCCATCATAAGAGCTTCATAATGCGTCCAAATAGATTTAAAATTTCAAAAATTTCCCGAGGGAGGGGCCAACCCCCCCCCCCTTTGGCTGGGGGCCTGGGCCAGAAAATTGGTATCCAGGGCCCGAGATGGGATGTGGCGGGCCTGTGTGCGCGTCGTATGCCACGTGAAATGTTAGTTAAGATATATAACAGAATATACATATATCAGAATGCTGAAATTCGTACCTTTCCAGTGGTCCATTGGGAACTATACCATGGTTTCCTATTGCGTAATGCGAAACTCGGATTTCCCATTTTGCCATTCGGAGCTATAAGCAGGACAGCTAGCGCTCGGGATAGAGCGCCGGAAAGGTGAATCAACGACAAGATCAGACATTCAGACATTCAATCGTCAGCCATTTTTGTCTCGTGAATGTGATAGACTTACGAATTTCGAGTAGTGGTTTGTCCAAGTGTGCACGCAAAGAGGCAAGAACTCAAGAAGGCCAGAGAAGTGTATTTCAAAAAGGACCTAGAAAACGACAATTTTATTGATATAGGACAAAAGCGTGGGCAACACTAGGTTGCTTAATGAAATAATGCGGCCATGTAATTTTCTCAATGATTGGCTGAACTGGACGTTTTTATGCCAAAAGAAACTGTACGCCATTTTCAAACTTTTCAGTCGAGCATGTTCGACAAAAACCAGTGGCGATTCCTTACTAATGAACCGATTTTCGTTTACTTTGGCTTATTTGAAAGCTGAGGAGCTCTACGCGTCGCCAAAACTCCGAAAAAATGCATATAAAGCGAGGTATAGGGGATTTTGCACGTAGGTCTCTTTGATTTATTGCACTATCCGGATACTGAATTAAATCGAGAGGAGCTTTATCCATTCGACGGATTCGGCAATGCAATGCCCGGTTACGTTCGCCGCGACCGGTTAATCGATCTCAGTGAATATTGGTACCGGGGGGTATTTTTGGGCAGGGAAAGTCGCTTTTCTGGTCCAATTTCGAAAATCCAAGATGGCGGATGTGGCCTATAATGCTATCTCGTCTCCTGTTCGATCGATCTCAGTGAATCCAAGTAACAGGGGATATTTTTGGGCGGAAACTCGAATTTCTGGTCCAGTTTCGAAAGTTCGAACATCCAAGATGGCGGATGTGGTCTAAATTGCTATCTCGGCTCATGTACAGTCGATTTTTGTAAAACTTTTAACTTTGTATCTGTCGGCATTTTTGAACGGGAAACTCGAATTCCTAACCGAATTTAGGAAATTTGAAAATCTTTTAAGTGACCCCGTACTCTCCTTATGGGAAAGTGCACCACGATCGATTTTTAATTATTTTAATGAATTCAATTCATCTCGAGATGCTGATCAAAAGTGATCATTGCGCCAACTTTCTACGATGCACCGTTTTCGCACAATACGCCCAGAATGCTTCAATTATTCAGCGATAAAGAGTCAAGAAGAAGAAGGCATTCGAGAACACAGGTCTGATGTGAATAAAGAAATACGTAGCGAGTGTCTGTCTCCTTATCTATTCCTGCCTACTCTGGGGCTATCTCCTTCCCGCTCTCGTTCGTTTGACGTTCACTGTTTTTCTCCGACTTTCCTATTCTTATGCTCCTCATGAATCTAATTTGGATGGTCAAGCAAAAAGACGTAAAGAATCCAAGATAAGACTGCTCGGTGCTGGAGTTCCCCTGATGTCCTTGTTGACACACAGCCGACCGTTCACTCGAGTGCTAATAAGAGGAATCTTTCTGACTCTTTATCGATGAATAATTGAAGCGTTCCGGGCGTATTGTTCGAAAACGGTACATCGTAGAAAGTTGGCTTAATGGTGACTTTCGATCAGCATCTTGAGATGAATTGAACGCAATAAAAAAATAAAAAAAGTAAAGTAATATAAAAATTAAAGATCGATTGTGGTGCACTTTCCCATAAGGAGTGTGCGGCATCCTTTTGACAATGAGCTTGTTCAGTAATTTTTCATTCTTGCATTTTTGAAGTATTGAGTACGCATAGTTCACAGGAATTTTTTCCGATTATTTTGAACAATATTAACCCACAAACAACTAGTTCGAAGTTGCGTATTTTAAGCTCGCATTTTAATTACGTGTCTCCGAGGAGGTCTACATGACGCATGAGAGATCTCCCGAGTGAGGTCACACTTTTGACCACGCGTTCCCTCTAGCTTGCTTTAAATACTCCTAAATCTCTAAATACTTTTCCGATTCCAATGAAGTCCCTGATAGTAATTTTAATGAAAATGGAGTGGTTCTGATGGGTTTGTTTGTTTACGTCCCATTATCAATGCAGAGTGACATTTGTCGTTGAACAGCCCTGATCAAACTATCCCTGCAGAATAATCGTCAAAAACGTGCCTCGAAACGATATTTTTGCAATTTTGGGGGGCACCCGGGGGGGGGGGGGGGCTGTGGAAAAACGGCATGCAGTCACATCGCTTCAAAATTTTACAAGGTTTAGATAATGGTGCCATATACCTAGTGATGCGAGCAACCGTTTTCGTGTTATGGGCGGAAAACCGATTTTGGGGCACTTACCCCCCCCCCCTCCCCAAAAATCCAAACCCGTCACGCTGTATTGATGCGGACTTTTTTAGGTGACCCAGGGGGTCATAAGAACTCACTTTGCCAAAAATCAGCCTGGTATCAATTTTTCCCCTTAACTGGCTGAATTTGACGTACAATTCCTGAACTAGATCGAATCAGCAGAAAAGGTATGAAGTAAAAAATTCATTTTTCACAAAATCAAAGGGAGCAATCCCTTAATTTTTCTTTAACAAATGTACCTTTTGGTAGGCTCCAAAGTGATGCCAATATGCATCTGCTCTTTTGTGTTTTCATTTTCCTCCCCCCTGTGGAGAGTGCTCAAGTGAAGCTGTACCTAAAAGGAGTTCCCTTGAAAGTAAACCATCACCTGTTACAGCATTATTCGAAATCTGAAATCGTTGTAGAGATATTCAAACTGGCTCGTTTTCCTGAAACACTGTCCGATAAATAGCTGTTGGGGCCGATTCATGAAGAAAATATAAGTGTTAAGCTTCTCTGGCTTCGAATATGCAGACCAATCTACGCAGGTCAGTCATTCCTGTAGGCTAGTTTTGAGACCCTACAGCGCATTAGCAGCAGGAAGTTAAATGCAATTCATTTCTTATGGGACCAGTCAAAGCTACGGCACATTGGGTGCAGTTGGATGAGGGCCCGCAAGGAGAGGTGGAGGTGGATTCTGAAAAGATGCCGAGCGACTTATATGTGTGTGGATTGATCGTGACAAAAATATGGCACTGTAAATGCGCTCAGGTATTTCAGGGAAGCAAATTTGTCAATCTCGATTTCCGCATGAGCCCCAGAAAGTATAGATTTAAATGTGAAACAGTGCTCACGCGGGGATTGAGATACGCCACGTCACAGGGGCGACAGCTCGTGCCATAACTTGAAATGTCCACCTTATCCAATGTTGAAATTTGTCCAGGTCAGATTTAATCACGGAATTGGTGTAAGGGACAAACATACAGGCAGCAGGATTGAGATGAGATTTTGACTTAATTTGGAATAGAAAGGAAAAAGACCAAGTGTCAGGCAGCACTGCTCAATAGTTAGATCCCATACAGGGTGTCCCATAAGTCCGTACCCCCCTCCTCGTAACTTTTGAACGGTTAGAGATAGAAAAACGAAACTTTGGGAATGTTTCTATCTCAAAGGGGACCATCTTCTAGGGAGTTCAAAATTTTTGTCCCTCCCTCAGGGGGGGGGGGGGGGGGGGGGGCCTCAACTTTTTTTTCAAATGGTAACCCCTATTTTGTGATACATCATTGGAAAGAACATAAAAAAACCTAGAATTTTGGCGCAAACAGCAGATCGATATCTTAATTTTTGACCGAGTTATGATAGGTCAAAGGTCAAATTTAACCTATTTTCAAAAAATCATAACTCCGGTTCAAATTATCATAGAGAAATACATAAGACGGGAAAATTTACCACGTTGTAAGCACTTTAAAGTAAAAATCGCAGAAATTGCAAAGATTTAAAAAAAAGAAATTTAACTGATTAAATTTCTTTTTTGTAAATCTTTGCCCAAAATTTGGGGACTTGAAAACGCAATGTTGAACTAATTTTGAATTTACTGAGATAATGTTGAGGCAAAGTAAGGGAAAATTGGCTCATTTCGCGGGAAAAACGTATGACCTTTGAACTGACGTGTTTAGGGGTCCGAAACGCCCCTAAAAATTAAATTTAAGTGATTTCTGCAATTTTTACTTAAAAGTGCTTACAATGTGGTAAATTTTTCCGTCTTGTTTTTCTCTCTATGATAATTTGAACCGGAGTTATGATTTTTTGAAAATAGGTCAAATTTGACCTTTGACCTATCATAACTCGGTCAAAAATTAAGATATCGATCTGTTGTTTGCACCAAAATTCTTAGTTTTTTTATGTTCTTTCCAATGATGTATTACAAAATAGGGGTTACCATTTGAAAAAAAAGTTGAGGGCCCTCGCCCCCCCCCCCTGAGGGAGGGACAAAAAGTTTGAACTCCCTAGAAGACTAGAAGATGGTCCCCTTTGAGATAGAAACATCCCCAAAGTTTCATTTTTCTATTTCTAACCGTTCAAAAGTTACGAGGAGGGGTACGGACTTGTGGGACACCCTGTACAAAAGTCGTAGAGCCTCAGTACCTAAACTTGGAATGATGAGTATCTCAAAAATAGCACATAAATCCCCTCTGGTTCTTGAAGCTGTTAATAATTTGCTGAACAATTTATGGATGTAGCCGCTCATTTTACGGAGCTGTCTCATTATGAAAACCCGGAAAGAAACTCTAAGAATGGATTTTTTTTTAGTCATTCCTGCTACTAGATCCTGACTCTGAATGAATTAAGTTCATCTGAGCATGCCAAATCATTGTTGGAGATCAACAGTGCTTAAAGTTACTTATATCTCTTCATTTTCCTTTGCTTTCATTTATTCTCATTTGCTTCTTTTTCATTGTGAAGATAACTTTTAAAATCCTAAGACGTTATCCTGATAAAAGGCTACGTAATCCATGGAATGGAGAAGGCATGTTACTCCACGCTAAAATTTGTATATTCGGTTACTTTTCTTTGCCTCAAAATCAACTCCTTACTCTCTCTCTTTTTGCAATTTTTTTGCCTACACAAGTCTCATAATCTATATGCAAAGAACTTTTATGACCTTGCAATTTTTTTTGGTGGAAATACCCTCCATATCGTTGAAAACCATACTCTTCTGTTGCCAACGGACGTGAAAGACCGTGGTCATCCCAAAATCAAAGGCATCAAAGTCTAATGATATTTTCTCCATTCATTACTACAGGAAGTGTAGAAAATTCTGCAGATTCTGTGAATTCGGCCTCTTAAAATTTTAAAGATGGAAATCAGCTCATGATTGCTTGGTTCTCATTTACTGAAACGTTCTAACTTTCATTCCTTTATTCATTTAATCTTTATTTTTATTATTATCAATTTTTTTTTTTTTTTTTTTTTCAGGAAAAAGAGGGGAAAAAGAAAGCGCGCAACAAAGAAGGTAAATTTCAACCATTTCTTCGTTTTTTTTTCAATTTAATCTAATTAAAAGTTGATTTCGTTCCATCAAATTTTTGTCCTAAACATGAATAGTTTTCATTTAACTGAGCTTTTTAGATTAAATTGTATTAAATTGTATCCAATATTCACTCTGATTTTCCAAACTGCTTATCTTACTAAGCTGTAATGCCCTTAATTTTTCAGTGGTGAGCTCTAACATGTTGCCTCTTTTTACAACTCACCAAGCTCGGACTGTAAAGGGAAAGAGATTGTATTTAAATGGGATTATCTTTGGTAAAAAGAAAGATGTAAGTCCTGTAATATCGCTAGGATCTTGCAAAGACTCATTCTTATTGTCTAGTAGAAAATTCTTTTACGTTCAAGTTATTTCCGTAGAAAAATGCTCTTACATATACAGGACGACCCAGATGCACTGTGCCAGGTTTTTTTTTTCGTTTATTCTAGTGAGAAGTAAGTGCTGGATCGCGGGGAATCCGAATTTCATAGTCCCCCGGTTTCCCTTGAGAGGTAAAAAAGGGGGAAACAAAATTTGGGGTTCACATCAAAATTTTGAAATTATTTTATCAGTCATAAAGTGTAGAAAATTGTATCCTAAATTGACTCCAAGAAGTCCAAAATCGGTCCGTCCGATACCATAATACTAACCTCCTAAAGGTGGGGACACAGCCCCCGGTTAAGAAAGGAAATTTGCGAAAGTTACAAAGAGGCTTGGAAAAAAGATGTGGACTCAACATGCGCAATTGATCCTAAGGAATCCTAATTAAGGGTCCGGTTGTCCCCAGAGCTCTTTCTGATGGGGTACAGGGGACCCTGAACTCATAAATTGAATCAGTGTGGGGTCCCCCCTGTACCCCATCAGAACCAGTCCCCCCTGTACCCCATCAGAACCTCTTGGTCAACGAGACCCTCGAATTCGGATGCGTTAGGGTCGACTACCCATGAAAACATATTTTCTCCGAACCTCTATATCAGTCCAGCGAACTCGCATTTTTTGAAAGGAGGCTGTGTCCCACCCTTTCAGGGTCAGTACGTTAACGGTTGAACCAGTTTTTGTTAATGTAGCTTGACGTTTTTTGATTAGCAAGTATGTAGTAGTAATTAGACGTATCAATTTCTTGGATGCCTCATTTAGTCAGTGTCCTTTATTGTTAGGTGCATTTGCATACCATGTGAAATGTTGTCTCACAGTAACGTCTTAAAATAATAAGACTAAATCGTTTTGTTTCAAAATCAAAATGATCATAATCGTTGCTTCGCTTCTCATATATGTAAAATAATTGTTTGATAGTATGAGCATTTTGATGATGGCTCACAGTCTAATACTTGTATCATTATCGCTCATTATTTAGCATATGACCCTTCAGTATTTCTGTTTGTGCTTATTATTCTCTCAAATTATTTGATCAATTTTTATAGGTTCTGTCTGCCATCTGTGCATTTTTCCCCTTTTCTTGATTTCACACTTGTCCGGCTCAGTTTAATTTTTTGCTTTTACATTTGTATCTTGTATTTTCCATCCAGTAAGCTTAAAGTTCTTTCTTGAGCTAATTCACAACTTTGTTTATCTTCTCTTTTATTTCACCAACTTACTTTTATGGCATTGGACTCACCACTGCTTTCATCCATTTAAATTATGGTAAGTCAATGTTGTATTTTGGGTTTTATTTCCCCTAATGATCTCTAAATCAATGTTTTAGCAAGTTTTCTGTCAACATTCTTTTTCTCAAGTGTCCTCATCAGGTCAAGTAATTAGGTACCCAAAAAATCGACTAAGAGTAACAGTAGGGTGCGGCTTATTTGTATGCTAAAAAAAAAGTTGGAAAAGTTCAGCTCCCCGGTTTCCAATAGGTGCCAATACATAAAAAAAAAATTCCTGTAAAGTTTCAGACCGATCGGATCATTTTTAGAACCTCCGCCGGGGACGTTTTTACCAAAAAATCGATTTTTTTACTTTTGCCTCTAAATAGCTCACCCTGTGATCAAAAATGGCTTTTTTCTGCAAGATAAACGCGTCGTAGCGAAAAAATGCTTATTTTCCAAATGAAAGTCCGCGAAATTTTACACTAGAATCATATTAGATATGACGACAAATTTTGAAAAAATCACCAATTAAATTCATCCATCGGGACAGATCTTGTCCAAGCTCAAAAAATTGTGCCTGCACTTCGATAGTATATGCAAAAAAACAAAAAAAGTTGGCCACTCAAATCGGTTCTGGGGGTGATAAAACTACAAGTTGTACACTCTTGCAAGCAAATTTTCTTAATTTTTTCTTTTTTGTCGAAGTAAGTCCAAAAATACCACCCAATACTTTCCTTGTAGCGCTTTAAGTAATAGAACCTGTTTTTCCTATGAAGAGGGTCCTCATAGAGAAAATATGGATACAAAAATTTAAAATGCCCGGAACACTGACCAATAAAGTTTTTTACGGTTAAATAAACTGCAAGCTTCCAAAATGTTCTAAAAAAAAATTGCTACTGCGGTCATAACGAAGTGTTAAAATGACAGACCTGCATATTTCCTAGGAACCATCCGGAATTTTTAAACGTTAGATTAAGGCTCTCTTATTTAGCCACGGGTCATCAAGAGGCATTTTGCAGGGTTTTACCAATAAAGTTTTTTACGGTTAATATATTATAAGCTTCCAAAATTTTGAAAAAAAAAAAAAAAATATTTGCTACACAGTGGTCGTGAAGAAGGGGAAATTATAACATACAAAAATTCAGCTACATCAAGTACTCATTTACGATTGAAAAAATTGGAATATAAATAATTGACAAAAACATCGGAAATGTGGAATAAAAAAGGAAATACACTATTTATACCAAGTATTTTTGGCGGCCGAGGAATATTTGGCTCTGTGCTGTTGTACAACTTGTAACAAATATTGCTGTTGTTCCTCTTTATTAGTGATTCTTTGATTAAATTTGGTTATCAAAGCGACCCCTCGCTCGGCGTAGTCATTAGTGTCCCGCATACTTTTGACAACTTTTCTACATTGTTGAAAAGACTCATTTTCGTCCAATTTCGAAGGACGGTGACTTATGAATTCATGCGGAATGTCTAAAATTTTAAAGAAATTGACTGTATCAGCCGTGATAAATTTATCGAGAGTTAATTTTTTTAAATTGTTATTTTCCAGGTTCACTTCTTTCCTCAACATACGAATCTCTGGAGCTTTCCTTTCTAAGGCTTTTACCATCTTAATTTTCGTTAGTGTGGTAACTTTAGTGTCAATAAAAGAAAAAGCGACAAGTTCTTCTGAGAGATACCATAAGTGATTGGCGAATTTTTTTGAAGTTGCCTCTGAAATATTCCTGTTTACTTTTTTGTAATTTACAAGACCAATCAAAAACTTTAAATCATTGTTAGGTGCCATGACTCCAACTGGAGCCTCAAACCAGTATTTCACATTAAGACGTACTATAAAAACACAAATTTGCGAGATTTGCTCTAGAAGATCAGTTGGATATTCCTCACGGAATATGTACATTTTTAAAGCGTATATGGCTTTGGCCATCCATCTGGAATTTGAGACGGCTCTGGGTCTTCTGAAATGCACTCCTCTGTCTGGTTTTTCTCCGCAAAAAATTAAAACTAGTTCCAAAAGCTCCTTATAATCGTCACGCGGATTGTATTCCTTGAAACAAGCGACAGAAAGCAAACAAAATCAATTAGTTCGCATAAATAAGGAGGTGTTTTGCTATTGCTTTATTTTGAGTTTTCTTCCTTTTAGTTTGCGCACGTAGTTGTACTAATAATCCTCATACTGATCTTCCTCTTTTGTCAAATTACCCATCAATCAGTTTCAGAATAACTTTTCAAAACGAACGTCATTGAACATGCACTTATTTAAGTATCATGAGGTTTAGTAGCAAAGTTTGGTAAGATTAAATTTCAGAACGAATTTCATGATTTTGTTTTTCTTTAAATATTAGGTGCATCAGAATAGTTCCTTGAAAAAATCATGGAAAAAAATCCAATTTTCCTCTTGATTGGAAACAAAGAAATGAAGGGAGTCAAATTTGAGCGATTATAATAGTAAGACTTACCCAGAGCTGTTTGCGGCAAAAACTAATTGCGTTTTGTCTGGTGGAGCCCAAAGCTTTTTAGGGTACCTGGATCTTCAAGCGCAGTTTTGTAGTTGGACTGATCAATATGGTCCCATTGTCCCCGGAATTTAGTGAAAAGATTATGCTCCGGCTGGTTGGTGGGCCCAATGGAGCAGGTGATTGCGCTTTCTAGGATGAGTTCGGGTATATGGTGCCGGCAGGCCAAGTTCAGGAGAGGTCTAGTCATAAGCCGCTCTAGATTTATGCAGGCCCCATTGTGAATTCCCGCGTTAGTAGACGCAGTGTCAAAGCACTTAGATTTCACTTTATCTCTAAGATTCCACGCATCAATTGCTTCATAGACAGCCGATGCTTGGAGTTTGCCTGTACCCGAGGATAAAGGTGCCACAGCAAGCAATTGGTCGATTCCATAACCTGAGACGAGAATTGGCAGTCGGTCGACTTTTTCTCTACCGGTCAAACTTGGCAACAATTTACCGTCCCAATGTACAGTAAGAGGGACGTCTGGAGCAAAATTATTTTGGATTCTTTTAGCTGAATCCTCTCTGAATTTTGCACGGGCTCTTCTAATTGATTTTTCGTTCATAACTAGTTTCTTTACATCTAGACCGCATGATTTGGCACTTGATGCCATGAGATAGACAGCATTTCTGTTGGTAGTCTGGGTGCGATCTAAAGCGGAGGCCATTCCCTCATCCAACAACAACGTTCGCCCTCGGCTTGCCCTTGCTGGAAACGTCATGGATTCAGAGTTTTGATGACTTTGCCCAGGGTTAGAGCCTCGAACACATTCCTGCGCAGACCGACCACTTCTAATCTAGGGAGCTGGAACCTTAACGGACTCACAATATTTGTGACTTGGTCCGGGATAGTTTGAATCTTGTGAAGATGGTTGCGAACCTGAAGAAGATTCAGTGGATGACACTAAGATAGCTTTCTTTGAAAAAATCTCAGCTTCTTTTTGAGCTTTCTTTTTCCTAAATGCCATTTGTCGAGAGCGACGTGTTCGTTTGGTCTCGCCGATTTTCGTTGATTCACTTTAAGGGTTTTCTTTCCTGATCTCTGCTTCAAATAATCTCTTGCTATCAAAATTCGTCATCCATTCGATAGCGTTAGCATGGTCAATTCTGAATTTACATTGCAAACTGTTCAAAAAATTACTGTCAGCTTTTAGAACTGCTTTACTGAATTTGCAAACACTTCTTTTCCTCTTTTGGAAGAGTTTGTATAGTTTTAACACTTTAACAATACACTTGTCCTTTATCTGCGTGGGACTCTCAGCATTCTGCCAAAACGACAACAGTTTTTGCACAACAACTTCTGCACTCTCTTTCATTCCTTTTTTTTTGCACATTATGCTCGAATATAAAATAACGAAGTACTGCTTCTTTGGACGGGAATTTATCAGACACAATGTCCGACACAGGCTGTAACCTTTTAAAATATTCTTTCCTAATGCGCATGGTAAAATTAGATCTAGTAAGATAAAACGTATTAGATTCAACAGATGCAAATCTTTAAACCGCGCAAGAAAACTGACAAAACGATGACGTAACTCATCTGCTGACAAGCAGTATCGTGTTCACGAAATAGACTGATTTACTTGCTACATCATTCGATATGATATCGAACTCTTGGTTCAAATGTAAACAAACACAGAAAACTGTTCCTGATTCGCGCCATTTCGCGCTCATTCGCGGCCTTCGCACCATTGTGGTAAAATGCGTCCAAGTGTTTCTTACAATCGAAAGTTCTTGTATTAAATGAGTCTTTAGTTAATTTATGACCGGCCAATGACTACATTTTAATGAATTAGCACAATTAACTCATGAAAAATTCGCACATGAGGTTATGTTGGTTTGTTTTGGTTTGAACCAAGAGTTCGATCATATTATGTAGAATGACGCAGTCACTAAATCAGTCCATTTTGATTTCCCAAGGAATTGTCTGAACCGATGCGCATAAGCAATCACATTTACTTTGAATCAGTTGAAACAAAACGAAACGCAAACAGCTTGAGCCAACCCCGCAATATGCCTCTTGACGGCCCGTGGCTAAATAAGAGAGCCTTAATCTAACGTTTAAAAATTCTGGATGGTTCCTAGGAAATATGCAGGTCTGTCATTTTAACACTTCGTTATGACCGCAGTAGCAATTTTTTTTAGAACATTTTGGAAGCTTGCAGTTTATTTAACCGTAAAAAACTTTATTGGTCAGTGTTCTGGGCATTTTAAATTTTTGTATCCATATTTTCTCTATGAGGACCCTCTTCATAGGAAAAACAGGTTCTATTACTTAAAGCGCTACAAGGAAAGTATTGGGTGGTATTTTTGGACTTACTTCGACAAAAAAGAAAAAATTAAGAAAATTTGCTTGCAAGAGTGTACAACTTGTAGTTTTATCACCCCCAGAACCGATTTGAGTGGCCAACTTTTTTTGTTTTTTTGCATATACTATCGAAGTGCAGGCACAATTTTTTGAGCTTGGACAAGATCTGTCCCGATGGATGAATTTAATTGGTGATTTTTTCAAAATTTGTCGTCATATCTAATATGATTCTAGTGTAAAATTTCGCGGACTTTCATTTGGAAAATAAGCATTTTTTCGCTACGACGCGTTTATCTTGCAGAAAAAAGCCATTTTTGATCACAGGGTGAGCTATTTAGAGGCAAAAGTAAAAAAATCGATTTTTTGGTAAAAACGTCCCCGGCGGAGGTTCTAAAAATGATCCGATCGGTCTGAAACTTTACAGGAATTTTTTTTTTATGTATTGGCACCTATTGGAAACCGGGGAGCTGAACTTTTCCAACTTTTTTTTTAGCATACAAATAAGCCGCACCCTAGTGTAACAGTCTTAAACTGCTGTCGCAGGAAACGGTTGTGACACTGGCACCACCTCTCGGTTGCAGTCATAATACTCATGTAGTTTATGATCAGTTCCATGCTAGACTTGCAGATACCAGTCCCTTTTCCCAGGTAATGCAATGAAAACACATGGTAAAAAAGAGTGGTCACTATGACAGGGTGGGACAACTAGCAATATTATAAAAACCAGCACCACAATCAACTTGTTGGGGGACATAATAATAAGCAAAGACTCTGAGGAAATTCATAGAATCAGATGATTTCTTTTGTCGTCACATTAAAGCTGTTTATTATAAAATATTACTTTTTGGGTGGGGGGGGGAGGAGGAGAACACATTTATTTTATACCAGCTGTTTGAGGCACGCCTCTAAATATGCAGGCTTTTACAATAGCAGTTTGTCATAAAAAAGTTTTTTGTTGTTACATCTGCGCCATGCAGTCATTCCGTTTTAGTGAGCAAATTAACATTTTCTCACAAGTGCCAGAGAAATCTAGAATGCTCTTCAAGCGAGCAAGCGAAGTGCCTGACAGGATAGGCTAAGGATGACTAATACTAAGCGAGGTGACTCGGACTGCTCTCGATCATCGAAACAAATAAATATTTTGTTTCTCTGTGGACTGCGCAAGTGTGCGTCTGCGAAGTGAGCTCTGCCCATAGTCATAATGCATACCGACCGCATTGCATCGCCGCGCCGCTTGCTCGAAGAATATTCCCCCTCTCCTGGTCAAATCCTTACTTATAAATAGAGTTTCATTGAGGTTTATTTAGTAGATTCATATAAGTTGGAATGGGGTTAACAGCAGCCCCACCGTACATGAGAAGGAGGATGCTTGAATACAATCAGTATTGAAGTGTTGGGGAATAGTGATAGTTATACAGTTTTATTTCTAATCTTAATTAATTCCTCATAAATTTGTATACAAGTCTAACTGTTTACTGAGTGAGATTATATACCTAATTGTCATTTCCTGATATACTAAATTACTGATGTTACCTCTAGCCACATCCATTCGGATATTACTTAGGGAGATAAAATATTACTTTTACTGCCCTAGTTTCCAATTCTTCTTACAATTAATCAAACTGAGAATTTGTAAGTGAATCTTTGAGAAATACTTGAAACGCACCAGTAAGGGGCCGCTCATGAATCGGCTTAGTGCCTGTTATTTTTGTAAAATCAAATGAAAACAAATAAAAATGAAGATTGATTCATCTTATAAAGTGTAGAAAAGCAGGTTAGAGGTTGTAGGGGAGTGCAGTAGGATGTGTCTTATTTTTGGGTTTTTCGAAATTAAAAAATCTTTTGAAAAATTCAAAAAGTATGTTTAATTTCACACTAGAGAGAAACTTTTTAGGGGTAGCACTTTTCGGATCTCGAAAAACCCAAAGATAAGACAAACTCTAGAGTGCAGGTCTGAAAAGATGGATGTGTGAAAAGGGGAGGAAGGCATCTAAAATTACTAATCACTTGTGACATATTTTATGAACGGCCCACATTTTAAATTGGTGTGCTCTCCAACTTAATCTTAGGAAATCACCTCAAATCCCTCTAACCCAAGTAGCATTTTGCAACGAAAAAATTGCAATTTAAATGCAATAAAATTTCCAGATGATTTCAACTTTCTTGCAAGAAAATTGCAATTATTTTACAACATCTGACCCCCTCATTGTAAAAAAGTTGCAATTTTTTTTTTTGCAAAGAAATTTCAATATTGACGACCTTTAAATTTCAACCCCTAAATTTTCCGGGGAAATTATAATAAATCGAACCCATGCTTACCTAATGTCCTACGACGTTTAGCAGCATAAAATACCGGACGCCCTAGAGTGGGCTTGAACCCGACCTGCGAATTTCTAAGCGGAGCACTTTTCCACTGAGCTACAGGGAGCTGATGATGAGTTGGGTTGAAATCACGCCTCTTAAGGCTGTTATCGCATGCATTGCGTCAGTGCGTGGCTCAACATTCATCATAGATTTGAATAACGCCGTTTTTCTCAGGCTTCTTTCTTTTGCCTATTATTTATTTTTTTTCGTGTTATTTATTTTTTTCATATTTTTTTTGTCTGATTTTTTTTTTCGATATCACGTAATAGGTACTCGCACTAAATTTACACCGGTGTAAATTACACCACATACTAACTTGAGAACTTAAAAATATTTTCAAAAAATATTTTTAAAATATTTTCAAAACTTTCTTAAGGAATATTTTTAACATGCGTGTTTACAGGCAATATTTTTGAATTATTTTAAAAATATTTTTTGTAATCATTTTCAAAATATTTTTTGTAATCATTTTCAAAATATTCCTTTAAAATGTTTTAAAAATATTTTGAAAATATTTTAATTACAATATTGCCATGAAAATATTTTGATAAAGGTGACAATATTTTCAAAATATGTTGGGCTATAAGGGTTAGGTGAGACATTTAAGTCGAAAAAACTTTAAAACAACTAGAGAATTGGATGCCAGGCACATGGCGTGAATTTGTTACAACATGATTGCACCGAAATTGCAGTCTTTATAGTACCTTGAAAAAGAAGGTTAGGCAACAAGCATAATCTACATTTCTTGCAAACTTATTGCAATAAAATTGCAACTTTTTAAGCGCCTTCAAATGAACGTATAGGCAACAAGCAAAAATTGCAATCAACTCACAATCCATTGCAATGAAATTGCAATCCATGCTACTTGGGAATGCTTGAAGGATCTTAACTTAGTCCATTCCTTTTTATAGTATGTAAATGCCCTGTTTCAGTAGCAATTCATTATCCAATTTACGCTTTGCCAAACAATGATGAAAATAATTAATAAAGAGATTGTTCTTTTAAAGCATTTTTATTTTTGCCTGATGTTTATAGGAATGTTGCTTGAACCAACAGTGCTGATAGAAGGAGTCTTATTCAGGGCTCGTTACCTAGGTTCTACTCAGTTAGTGTGTGAGGGTCAGCCAACCAAAAGCACCAGAATGATGCAAGCAGAAGAGGCTGTGTCCAGAATAAAGGTAATATCTTAACTAAGGAATGATGTCGATTTCAAAAAGACTGTCCCTGCCTCTATAAGAAATACCCGTATGGATTCTTTGTTCCAAACTTTCACAAACCATAAAGGACCAATCACGAGACCTGGATTCATTTTCGTCTAGCACCCCCCTCTAGGGATCCTAGGTTAAATATTCAAATTGCCAGAACTTTTTAGAGCATGAATTGATTTTCAGCGGGCGCCATCTTGCCTTTCTCGGCGATGTGCATGTGAATGGAAGCTCAAATTATGCCACTTTGAACTCGTCTCTCGTGACTTGATATCAGTCAAACAAATCCGAGAAAATTCCTGTCAAACATTTGTTTGACACTCCACTTACTTCACTGTCCACTTTTAAAAAATGCAAGAATTAGAGATTACTGACCAAGCTCATTCAGTAGTGCAGCATATTCTAGGCTCCAAGTAAGATTTTTCCTTTTTCGTAAGGTCAGCAGGCACGCAGGTAAAAAAAGATGGTTTTACGTTTTTGAATATGCTTTACATTCAACTCCAGTGCAACTCGGGGATATCTTTTGTTCAGAAGTCATGATTCTTCAAAGTTGGTGCGGCAAGATGTTTTTGTTGAGAATTGGGTAATCCAATAGATCCGCCCTGCCTTAACAGCTTTACTACTGGTTGAGTTGTCAAGTTGAAACTTTCCTGTTTTGGCCAAAAGGAGCTACTCTATGGCCCCTCAAAAATTTTGGAGGGCCCCTTAACTTTTCTTTCGAATGGCCACTCTTTCTTCGTAATACATTGATGAAAAGAACATAAATGAAGACGAGCTATTGTGCAAATTAGAAGTCATTAACCATACAAAACAATAGAATCGCAATATACTGGAGTGACGATGAAGTCACTTATTAAGGCTGTTTTGTCCAGTACTCCTGAGACTAGTGTGCAGCGACTGGCGATGTGGTATACACGGGGTCCCAGCTCCGAGCTTCGCTAAGAAAATACTGGTTTAAAATTTATTTTATAAAAACTGGGTGTTATGTACATTTCTTAATTTTTTATGGCTTTGGTCAACATAATTTGCCGAAATTCGCGACAATTATTATCAATTTAAATGAATAAATCCCAAAAACCACGCAGCCCACAATTCTCCCGTAAGCCGCTGTTTAAAAAATGCTGTCTGGTTCTCGCTTGGCTCACACTTTTGGCAAAGAAGAGGCTCGAAATGGCCCGTTCATGGATTGACTTAATTTACGCTCCAGTGCATTACGACTCTATCGTACTCCATGTCATTTACCTGACATTGTTGCAAAGTGTCAACGTGGTATGTTCAATATGACCCTAAGTGGATTTTTTGGCAACCAATGGATATGTTTGCGTCAAACTTGTGGTACAGGTTTTTTTTTTTTTTTTTGGAAGCTGGTGGGAATTTTATGTTAGTTCTTTAGAGTTCCAATATTTTTAAACAATGCTGACCTATTAACGGCAAAAAGTCTGTGTTTTTCTAAAAGGGGCGTCCACCTTGAGAAGGACTAGTACTTTAAAAAAACTGGTTTAAATTTGTGTTTAGTGTTGCCAAATATCTCAGGCCCCAAATTTTAAGCAAATCCACTCATAGATTGCTAATATGCCTGTTTCTGGCCATTTTGAATTCAGACCAGTCAACATATTTTGAAGGATAAAGATACTAACCTCAAATTTTAGCCAAATATTGTCTCCTTTCATGCCTGGGGTGACTATACATATGTAACAGAATGGGGGTTGCCGTTTGAAAACAAAATTCAAGTCTCTGTCCTGCCCTCACATGGGCCCCTTGAAAATGGGAGAGATTAAAAAGGTAGCTCTCTTTGACATGTGAATACACCCAAAGTTTCCAAAAAACTTATCAGGGTGGGGTTGGAACTGTTGGACGCTTGGATTTCAGTGTAAAAATCATATGCTTACCCCTGTATTCCTGCCTCATATTTCCCCTGTGGTTTTGGAAACCAATAACATCCCAAGAAGGATACATTATTGATTCTTCTTTGCATTAGATCATCCTAAAGCCTTCTTTCCTCGAAAATAAGGAAAAGATGGATCCTAACCTCCACTTGTTTTTAACTGTTCTCCACTAACTTCAAAATATTTATCAGAATCTTTGATGTGTAGGAAAAATCAGCAATTTATTCTTAATGCGATGCCATTAGTTCTTAAGACACTGCAGGGAGGCTGAAGTGGCACCTTGGCATCACTCAGGAAGAACACGTACAGACACGTTCTCAGTGTTAAAAACACCTAAAAACAAATGTATTTAAATTTTCTGTCATGTGTGGATCATTTTAATTTCAATATTGACAAGTAACGGTTTAATGAGAGGGTACCTATTTTTCATCAATTTTTTATCCTGAACGATGTTTTTGCGTATAAAATGATAGGTGTTTTAATTTTTCCTCTAAAGTAGGTTTTTGCAGAAGTATTTTTTATGATTGATCGTTTTAAATTTATTCAATGATTCTACTTGTACCATATCTATTTTCATGCTGCCTGTGTAGGCTTTGGTAAGTCTCTGAGCTTGATGTCTCATGCCTAAATTTTTTTATTTAAAGTAAAAGTTAAGAATATTCAACCCTGTCAATTTGGGGAACACATTTTTTCTCGTTTTTAAGGAAATACTGAAAAACAACATATTTTTCATTTTCACTGAGAACAGAAAGGTATGTTGTTTTTATATTATCTTGATCTAAAAACCTTTACCGCATCCCGTTGCTTTGAGTTCAGAACTGGGCTGTTGCCATGTCTTGCCCCGCCTTGCTGTGCGCCAAACTGTACCACGGCGGAGCTGGGCAACAGCGGAGTTCCAAACTTAACGTTGCCCCAAAGGCAAAACACGGGTCTACTTACATAGGTTGTTCAAGAAGCAGTGAGACAAATGCTTTGATTTCAAAAGTAACTAGGTAGAAGCTTTTTCTTGGTCTTGTTTAAAGACAAGCCTAGTAGCTTACTAATTAAACCAAGATGATCTCATTTGGTTGAAAATTTTAAAAGTTTCTGTAAGTTTGAAAAGCGAAAAGCTGCATGCGACTTTTAACAAGGATTTTTGCTCACCAAAATTGTTCCTAAAACGACAATCCAATGTGCTGTTATACCGAAAACAACGTGGCAACCCTAAAGACTACTTGACGACATTTTACTGTTGTCTTCTGACTAGGAGCCCAAAGGATTCAAAGGGCGACCAGCTCCGTTGTCAAATGGCACCCCGAAAATCAGGAAAATCTACCAGTGTGAAAACAGCTCCTTTACGCGTGCGCGAACATCGCATTTACTGCGTGATTTTTGTTCCGTTTTGTGCTAGTATTTGGCTAAATCACAAAATTCTGTTTTTCACCAAATCACCGTCTTTCCACACGTTGTTCACCAAAAATTATATGAAACGGAAAAAAATTTCGAAGTAGATGTGAGGTACGCACGCGCGCCGAGGGGTTGTTCCACAGTGGTAAATTTTCCCCATCTTCGGGGTGTGATCTGACGATCGGGCTAGTCGTCTGTTGAATCCTTTGGTCTCCTAGTCGGATGAAGAATACCGTAAAATGTCATTAAATAGTCTCTATAGTTGCCAAGTTGTTTTCGCCGCAACACTGCATTGGATAGTAGTTTTAGAGACTAATTTCGGTGAGCGAAAATCCTTGATAAAAATCGTAGGCGGCCATGAGCCTTTTGCTTTTTAAACCTACATATCTTTTTAAATTTTCAACCAAATGAGTTGATATTGGTCTTATCAGAGAGCTATTAGGCTTATCTTTTAAACAATATAAAGAGAGACCTTCTACTCAGCTTATTTTCAAAATGATAGCATTTTTCTTGCTACTTTTTGAACAACCTAGGTACATGTGTTACAAGAAGCAACTTTTCCGCCACACCTGTCAAGCTACTTTGGAAAAAGTTTTTTCCACATTTAACTAAGGGCCGCCCCCCCCCCCTCCACCTTATTCCTCTCAAGTCAAGGAAGAGACCTCTCCTAGCATTTATGTAAACAGTAATTTACCTTTTATAATGTAGGACAAAATTAATTTGCACCAAAAACATTGTTTATTCTTCTGTTTAAGTACATATAAGTTCACGATCAGTAAAACAAGAGATTGGAATCAGAAAGATAAAAGAAGAAAGTTAGTTTTATACTTTTCCAGTTTTTCATTTGCTAACAACTTATTGGCAGTAGTTGTTTTTTTTCTTTGTACATGATCATTTTTCAATGTTTTTCCTTTCTCCCCCCCCCTCTCTTCCATATGGTTAACCGCATTTTTTATTCATAGGCACCTGAAGGAGAGACTCAACCAAACACTGAGGTAGACCTGTTTATATCAACTGAGAAGATAATGGTCTTAAATACTGATTTGAAGGTAAACATCTCTCATTCTCTTCTCCATATTAAAAGGAGATGTCCAAAAAGTAGCCTTTCCTGCTCCTTTGAGCATTTCCCCAAAGTTTGTATCTTAATTGTTTGTGAGTCACATATGAAATGTCGTTTCTCAAAAATTTAGCCCCTAAATAATTTAGTCAAGGGAAGTGGGAGGTCCAAGTAACGAAATTCAAATACTGATATCTTCAAATTGGTTGAAGATTTTTACATCTGATTTGGACTAAATTATTCGAAAAGGAAATGTACCATTTCATTGCAAAAAGAGTCATGAAAATGCCTAATAAGCAGTTGTGCCAAAAAACTTGCTCCAAAAATACAGATTTTAACCCCCGCCTGGTTTTGGCGTAAACTTTGCTCAGATGTTGTACTAGGTGTCTTCAATGCCTGGGCAAAATTTTAGCCTCCTCTGATACCTATGGGGGCAAAGCACATCGCATTTACTGTGGTTAAAATTTTTACATGTGATTTGGACTCAATCCCCGAACGAAATATTCTCTTGTAATGGAATGTTCAAAGTTTTTCAAAATCCAATAAGGTCCAGTCAAACGAAGCCAAATGAATAAAACGGTTTACCTTGCAACAAAGTAGGTATAAGGGTTCAAGAGTGATTCTAATGTATTTTTTAGCTTCAATTGAGAATTATCAACTTCCCGCCAAAGTTTTCCTCCGGTACGTTGCCATTTATGCAAAAAGTCAGTTTTGTTCTTCCTCATTACGCACTTAGTTCTGTGACTCATTAGTAATGCCTCTTTTCAGAAAATTGTTATTTTCAACGTCGTAGAACACAAAATTTTGGGTGTGGAAAATATTATGAGGAGCGTTTTAAACCAAAAGTAGGGTACCACAGGCGCCGGAAACAGGGCTTATTTTTGACAAAAATGAAAAATTTATGTATTATCTAGATTGATCTATCTGCAGGGCATTTCAGAAGGAAAGGCAACAGCTAGAAATTCTAGAGCTCTAAACGATGGGAAATGATTTTAATGTGAAATTAGTCATTTCCAGGCTTCCTAGACCAATCTGGATCAACTATTGGGCCCGTGCCCTGTGCTCAACATGGCCTGCAATGCACGATGATGTTGGTGCTAGTATTGCTGCTGTATGCAGCGTAGCATTCATTACAGAATTCTGTGGATAGACCCTGATTGGTGTAATAAATCCATAAATGATTAATTTCACATCAAAATATAGGTCTACAATATTTCACTCTCTTGTTTTTTCCCTTAAATACCCTAGACTCATTATTTTTAAGAAATGTACACTCTCTTGTTTTTTCCCTCAAATGCCCTAGAGACTCATTATTTTAAAGAAATGTATAATTTTACTATGCTTTCGCTCATGATGCGCTTTTTTTTACTTGCATATTTTTTTGCATATTGATAATGCCAATACTGTACATGTTTTGACGATTTTTACCTCAAAACAGAAATGTTTGATTTTACCGCCTGTTTCACAATTCTCTTAACACTCTGTACACTTTCGGATACCCTTTAGTTTATTAGTTTATTAGTTTATTAGTTAATACCCTTTAATTGGTATTTTGTCTTAATCAGCTCATTGCTTGGGTTGTCTGTGCCACTTTTATGTATTGTTAACCTCTCTGTATGTAATCAATGAAAGCACCATTTTTTTTGTTCTGAATGCCTCAGGGTAAAACAAATTAAATTGGTATGTTATCAAATTGTATAAATAGTTGATATCTTCTTCTCGATGATACATAACTCACCCCTTAAAATACTGATTGTTTCATTTGCATTCTAATTTTGCAGGAAATCATGATGGATCACGCTTTACGCACAATTTCTTATATTGCTGATATTGGTGAACTTGTAGTGCTGATGGCTAGACGGAGATTCATCCCTCATGATGTAGATGACCCTCCTAAAATTAATCGGACTCCTAAAATGATCTGCCATGTATTTGAAAGCGAGGAGGTAAAATTGAACTGGCAATTATAATTTTTTTCTTTCTTTTTTTTCATGCATTTCCATATTACTAAACAAGACATAATCCTAGAAAAGCTGAAGTTTTAAGTTCATAATCATCTCCTCTTAAGTTCTCCAAAGAAATGAATCTACTCAATAATGAAAGACAATGATGCTGCAAAGAACAGTCCATGACATATACACAATATGAATACAACAAATACAGTAGAAAAGCAGAAAACAAGACCGAACACAAATAGGATGAAACTGAAAACGTTTTGACCGGCCATTTGATGAGTAAAAACCCGTTTGTACAGGGATCAATATGTATGAATTTCTTATAATATAAGATTTGAAATGGTCAGGGGTTCATTGCTGGTGTAAAAACCAAATGATATCTTTCAAAGGAGCAATATTCTTATAGATGATGATAGACAGCAGCATTATTGCAGACAGCAAGGTTGGTGTCAAATAGCATAGACAGATGATAGTACACCCAAACCGAGCCTTGAAAGAATGAATAGTATCAAGTGCTAAACCTGCTTGCATATTAGCGCCTGCATTACAAACTGTATCACTGTCCCCTAGAATTTCTATTGTTTCTTTTTCTCACCTGAGAAGTAACCTCACTACACAAAACCTCAAATCTTCAAATCTTGGTGACCAACCAAGTTCACTATAATGCTTCTTGAGTGCTGTTACTGTACCTCTGTCATATTTTTGCCTGGCCAACTGTTTTTTGAGCGATTGTTTTATTTGACTGACATAACATATTACAGTTAAAGCAAGGGATTTTATTAACATATGTGGATATTGTAACACAGGTTTTTTTTTTCTTTTTTTTTTTTTCTTATATTTCAATCTAAACACTAAGAACTCTTAGGTATTGAACTTGCTGTTTACAACATTGTACCATAGCAACTTCAATCAAAATGGACAAAAAAATTTCTGATATGCGGAAAAGGTGTGGTAAACTCATAACTTTATTCAGGTTTGGATGCTTTTGAGTTTTCTCCTGACACCTATTGAATCAGGACGTGCGAAAACCACTAATGTCCATTTTTCCAATCTTCAGTTTGTTTGAGTTGATAATACTTTTCGGAGTTGGATGCAAACACGACAGTGGCGTTAATACTTGTCTCCAGGTTACTTTAATCCTAAAACGAGCCCTCTCATAACTTTTATGGTTGTTTCAACTCTTTAAAAGTATTATCAACCCAAAAAAACTTAAGACTGGAAAAATGGAAAGTAGCGGTTTTAGCTTGTCTCGCTTCAATTACCATTAAGACTGCCAAAAACCTGGCAAATTTTATTTTCAATAAATGTTCATAGATGACAGTCTTTGTTGAGCAATCTTTTACCCACTTGTACTTTTCGTGGCAAATAGGGTCATGAGAAAGACGTTCCAAAAACGCCAATTTTAGCCCCCGCCTGGTTTTGGCCCAAACTTTGCTCAGATGTTGTACCAGGTGTTCTTAATGCTTGGGCAAAATTTCAGACTTATGGGATAATTATTGGGGAGGGGGAAGCAGGGAGGTAATGTTGCCATTTTTGCAAAACTTTATCAATATCTTCGTAGGAAGCACTCTTCAATGAGGGTTCTGTAAATAATACAAGCCTTAGTTTCTCTTCGCCCGAATGGGCCTATTGTAAACTTAGGCTAGAGCAAAGATAAGAATTATTCCTTTTAGAAAATGGCTCAAAAATAACGATGAGGGCATTAGCAAACCCGGAATGCACTCCCAACTTTGTAATTTCCCTAAGAAATTTGTTTTTTTTTTTAGCTTCCCACTGCAAAAACGATACTACGTTACAGGTGAACATTTCTCAGGTGATGCAAGGTACTCTACTACAAGTATGGACAAATGGAATTTTAGAAAGCCGTCAAAACGCGTAGATTTGACAGCGTCCAATGGTAGGACTGTGACGCCATATTGAAAACTTGTTTACATTCTGTTCTGAGAGTGGGTCTTGTCAATTTCGTGTTATTTTTTCGTGTTCTTAGTTGAGTTTTTCGTTATTTTGAGTATTATTAATTTTGAAAATTCATCTAACAGCTTATTGAAGCTACGAGATCTGCCAGAACCTCTTCAAAAGGCCATTTTGAACTGCGCATTAAAGACAGTTAGATTTGCGACATCAAGCGATGGCCTATATTCTCAGCGCTGTCACTTCAGCACTCCATTTATCCATACCTGCATTAGAGTATATCTTGAAGGAGTTGTTCCATCCAACCCTTGCGCACTAGAATGCTACAAAATATTCAACATGGCCAATGCCAATCCACTAAAACACATCATGTGATGGGAAAAGAGATTCTAACCACTTGTTAACAACCGGCGTGTTTACATTCACATTTTCTGCTTGTTCATGGATTTGCCTTGATTGACCTTGTGCTCCCCTTGATTAGTGTGCAGAAGCGTCGGCCTTGTTGAATATTGCAAAACAACCTGGTGCGAAAGGGTTGAATAGAAAAAGTCCTCTAACAAGATGTTCAACCGTGCCGTAGTATCGTCTTTGAAATGGGAAGTTGAAGAAATCGCAAATTTCTTTCGCAGATAGTGAAGTTAGGTGTGCACGTCAGACTTTGCCAGTGCGCTTACTGTTATATTTGAGCCATTTACTGCAAGAGACAACTTCTATTTTTGCTCCAGCAAAAGTTAGCGATAGGCCCATACTGCCGACCATTTGTGCGCACCAAAATCGCTGGAACTCTGGAACAATCCATTTCCCCTTAGGTCAAACAAAGTGTGGTAGATTCACAATTCCATGGAAAATCACATAGACTAGTTTTTGTTCACATGACGATGATGGCCTAGAGAAGTGATACATTCAACAAAAGAAAATCGAGTAATTAAAATCGAAAAAATCTAATTAGGATCACAATAAAATATGCATTCATCAAAACAACATCGATATTTTTGAATATAATATTTTCTGATGTTTTTAGTGCAAACTGCAACACATACTGTCAAACTGTTCCGAAGACATTGATTTTCAAAGTTTTGCAAAAATGGCAATTTTGCCCCTGTGCTCTCCGTAATTATCCGCGGAAGCCGATTTTTTACCCAGGCATTGGGGACACCTAGTACAACATCTGAGAAAGATTTGGGTCAAAACCAGTTTGGTGCTAAAATTGGCGCTTTCAGAACGATGTCTTTGCTGTAGTCTGGTTGCCTCATTTTTACAGTAATAAAAAATGTGCCCATCTTCCTGATGCAATTGAGTTTTTAAATAATTTCCAATGAGTTTCACCATCCTTTTCTTGAGTGCTCCAAGAAATGTAGATAGCCATCTTTTTCTATTTTCTTTTTATTTTTTCTTTTTCTATTTTAATGTTTAAATCTTTAAGGAAGTTCAAGGAGAAGGAAATTCTTGGTCTCTGCACTTCTACTGTATTTATAGTATTCCTTTTCAATGAAGTGATGTAGACATATCAACTCTAGATTATATAAAAATGTATACTACCATCAACTCCGCCTAATTGGGACACTGGTTAATCAGAACAACCTCTTTATTGGGACAAAATCTTCCTGAATGGAATCTTTCACATACTAGCAATGGAAAAAATCTCCATTTTATCAGGGCAGCTTTCTGCCCGAAAAACGTTCACAAAGGAAAAAATAGAGCAACTGGCCACAAGAGTGGGGCTTAAAGACTTCCACATGTAAGAGAGTTGGCTTTTCTACTGGAAAAGTAAGAAGAAAATGATGCACAAAAAAATTTTATAGTGAGACAAATAGCGCAGGTTTGGCAAGAGTTGACCAGTGAAAAACAGAGACTCCCTAGCATTTCAAAAAGGTATTGTGTAGCTGACATTTACAATGCTGACGAATTTGGATTTTAGTGTAGAGCAACTTCAGGTGGATTACTTTCTTTCTCATTTGAAATATCAAGTGACTTGAAGAAGGCTAGGGACGGAATCTCAGTTCTGACATGTGTGAACATGGCAGGTTCTGACTTCTGACAAATAAGACCAATTAGCGATAGGTAAAATTCATAAGTCTCGCTGTTTCAAGGGGATTGCAGTGGATATATTACCAAGGGTCTCAATGGTCGAATTCAAGTGTCTGGATGACTTTGAGTATTTTCATGCTGGTGCAAAAGAGTTAGAACAAAGAATTGAAAAGACCCGTGTTTTTTTCACTTTCTTTCTGGATGTTCTAAGGAAATTTCGGTTTATCCTGACATCCGCTGTTCCAGGCAAAAATCGTCTGGGACAGAAGGGTCTCGATTAAGCATAATTGACTGTTTCAGTAGTAAAAACGCCAAAGTTTTACCCAATAAGTGTCTAAAGACGATGTTGGAGTAGTATTTGGTCCATACCTTTCAGAAAAGAATAAGAGGCCAAGAAAAGCATCAAAATTGGAGATTATGTTTTCATTTAATATTTATCAGTATAAAACTGATTGTGGGGACCCAGCACTATTTAACTCTTTAACTTAACATATTTTACCATTTTGCAATCTATTCATATGGTAAGAGCAGATAAAAATGTTTATGTATTTATAATCTAGACAGCTAAATATGAGATCAAAACTCAGGAGAGTAGCTTGTGAATATTTTTTTCATCTTCTATCTGTAGAAGTTCTTCATGGTACAAAATTAATGGATGTCTAATTAATTCTCAGGCCCAATTCATAGCGCAATCTATTGGTCAAGCTTTCCAAGTCGCATATATGGAATTTTTGAAGGCTAATGGAATAGAGGATCATAGTTTCGTAAAAGAGATGGACTATCAGGAAGTATTAAATTCTCAGGAAATATTTGGTGATGAGCTTCAGATGTTCGCCAGAAAAGAGTTGCAAAAAGAGGTAACATTACATTTATTCCTCTATGTGTATATGCATAGAAATATCTGAGAACTGCTTCTTTTATGCCTCCAAAAAAAAAAAAAAAATGTGTAAACTGTAAGGTTCTTAGTCTCGAGTAGGTGTCAACTTTCAAATGAAAACTTGCATTTCATTCTTCTTTTTTTTAAAACAAATTATATTTAAGTAAAACATAGCTACTACAAGAATATGTCTTGGATCCATCTACACGATTTAAATAATCCAAATCGATTTTACTGAATATACAAAGTAACGTTAGATAATAAAACCATTATCTATAAAAACTGGTATTATAAAATTCTCTGTCTTTTTTTTTTCAAAATATTAAAACATATAAGTTACTAGTTTAATTACTTAATAGTCCTCCTTTCACTCTCCATTCACACTCTATCTCATACCTCACAGATTTCTACTTACAAAGTGAATCTTGATCGGAGTTGGAAGGTCTCCCACCTTTTTAACCTTTTCTCTAAAATTTTTTTATCTCAGAGGTTTACAGCCTCTTCATTGCATGTTTTTCTAGTCGAAATTTGTACTTCCTTGCTGTTTCAGCTATCAGTTGTCTAACCAAGGGTACCTCGAATTCTCTCCTTATGTCTAAGTTCCTTACGAACTATGGTACCCCAATGATTTCTCACAAAACCTTTGACTGGAATCTTTCTACCTTATTTATATTAGACTTGCTTGCACAACCCCACAGTTGTGAAGCACACTTCCATATTGGTTTTAATATTTGATCATGCAGTAAAATTTTGTTTTTCTTTAACAATTTCGATCTTTTTTCTAAATACATTGTTTTACACTTTTCATTTAATTCTGTCCTAATATGATCTTTAAACGTAAGCCTACAGTCTAAATAAACTCCTAAGTATCTAGCGCTTGTAACATAAAGAACTTGTTCATTTTCTATGAGAACTGGTAATTGTGGTATTTTCCTATTTATAAAAACAGTATGAGCAAAGTTACCTGCGTTGAGCATGGCGCCATTGTCAGAAATCCACCCAGCCGTTTCATCAATAGATTTTTGTAATCTATGATTAGGAATAAAGATGTCTTCGTCTCTTTCTGCTGAGGCAGTATTATCTGCAGAAGTGCTGATGAAGCCCCTTTTTGGTTTCGGGATGTTGCTGATGATGATATCATATAAGTATGGGCCGAGGCATGATCCTTGCGGTACTCCTGCCTTTATTCTTCTATACAGGGTGGCCCAGACCTACCGCACCAGGCCTTTTTTGAAGGAAAAGTGGTTTCTGAGTTCTGAAAGGTGATCAGTTGAATAGGGCCCAATGAATTCGAATTTCATGTTTTTGGGAGTCCCCCACCACCCTTTCGTAGGGTTTGATGAGGGTAACATTTTTTATGGCTTTTGACCGTGCTTAAGGAAAGATTATACAGGGTGTCCCAAAAGTCCGTACCCGCTCTCGTAACTTTTGAACGGTTAGAGATAGAAAATGACATCACTCGATAAATCTCCCGAAGACCGCACCATGGAGGCTGATCTAGCAGAACAAAATGGATGCAAGATGAATGCAGAATGGACCAGATCAATCTATAAGATCAAGGGCCTGCAGGAGATGCTTTCCCTTCTAAAGAAAATCTCAGGCCTATTTCGATACGCCCCAAATAGCATGGCGGACGTCAAAGAAAATGCCCTCGTATCTTCCTTTAATCTGCCAGAGAATTTTCTCAGCAACTCAATTGCTACTGAAAAAAACACTGGAGATGAGAAAAAAAAATGCTTACTGGAGGAAGTAGCCGCACTTCTTGATTTGAAACTCAGTAGCATCAAAGTCTAGATCATCAATGAAGCACAACTTGCCAACGCCGAATGCAGTCCTCAGTTAACGAAATTAAAATCAGTCAGGCTAATTACTCTGAAGCCGTTAAGTTTAACGGCAACGGAACTTCTCGCAAAAAGTCAAAACGCCTGGACAAGATTATTGAAGAGACCAAATCTGGGGACTTTTTTGCCCCCATGTTCAAAATTGGCAAGGCCTTGCGTTCCCCTCTACGGATGTGCATCTTTTAAAAGTCAAAGCAATTGACGGTGCCAACATTGACAATTCTCCGGCCTTACTTAAAAAGAACCTCAAAAGTACGGATGTTCAGATTAGAAAGATCAAAATTAAGAAAAACAGTGCTCAAATAACAGTGAGTGACCAGGATTTATCTGGTCAAATCCAAAAATTGCTCGAGGAGATGGACACATTATCCTGCAACCCGATCGTCCTTCGAAACTCCAACTTAGGATACATGATATCGAGAATGACCTCTCGGATGACGAGGTCCTTCACGAGATTTGTGATAAGAACAGTTTTACGAAGCAAAATGCGCGATTTAATGATACTGACTTCAAGTCTGGCTTCAAGATTGTCAAGTCATATCAAACGCATATTGATCAAGGATTCAACACAAAAACAATTATAGCAGAAAATTCTCCAACTGTTAGACACACATTAATGATTGTCCACCATGTCTTTATTGGTTTTTCCCATGCTTTGATGATGTTGTTGCAGCAAGGTGCTGTAGGTGCTACAGATACGGCCACCCGGCAAAATTTTGCAGGGTTTCTGATCAGCTGTGCCATTTTTGCGCATCCCCTGATCACCTATCCGAGTCCTGCAATGGTCTGGTTAATGAGCGGAAGCACTGTGTTGCCTGTATTGCCAGCAGAAAGCTTACAAGCTGAACGCACTCCATGTCCGAGTTACATGCAAGCTACGGAAGAAAAGCTCAAGAAAACCAATTATGGCTGCTAAGAAAAAAGACCTAACCAAACGCACCAAACGAACCAAGTTCACGCCTCACTAGCCGAGACTTTAGGAATGAAATGGTAAATTGAGGTGAAAAACTTTTATGGGAAAGTTGCTGTCCGTATAGCTTTGTTAACAGTACTCTTCAACGTGCAGCCAATGCCAGTCATTAAATTATCAACATTAACATAAGTCCTGTTTTAGCCTTTAAGATTATTACCTTTAAGAAAATTGTTCAGGAATGTTGAAACACTATAATTCTAAGCGTTACAACACACACAAAATTTTATGGTTAGGTTAGAGAAAAAAACTCCGATTGATCAGGAATCTGATGCGGTATATGAAAAACCTAAAACTGTGAAAAAGATTATGCAGGTTAGATGCAGCAACTGGTGACCAAACACCTCAAAATACACTGGTATGACTCTTAGAATGGGATAGCCCTCTGCAAGCACTAGGCAGATCTGAGTCCATTGCGTAGCTTGCGGGAGATAAAAATGAGAAGATTCACATTTCAATGTATCTGGATAGCATGTGTAATTTAACAGCAGACATTGGAAAGCTCAGTGGTGTTGATGGTTAGATGATGCTTGAGCCCACATGATCTGTTCTGGAACCCTGTAGAGAATGCCACACTACAGATTGCTTTCTGAGTACCAGTTAATTTTTTTGTAATTTTCTTTGAATTACTTAAATTTCAACATTTTTCAGTTTAGCTTCTGTGCTTGGCTCAGGTTGAGTCAGTCTCCAGTATTAGATTATTTCTCTGTTTTTTTTTTTTTTTTTTTTTTTTTTTTTTTTTTTTTTTTTTTTTTTCCATCATTAAACATTTGAAAATTCTAAAGTTCAGTGTCTGAAGGAGGCGTGGGGGGGATGTTTAAGCTTGCTTTGTGTGCGTTTTCAGCCTTTTTCTTGCAGTCTGTCTTTGATTTTACTTATGTCTGGCTGCTTGTATCTGGTTTTAATATTCAAGAAGGAATTGGTCACTAACGCATGAATTTTTCATTTTTTTTTAAATTTTTAACTCTAATATTTCTTTATAACGATTTTCAGGTTGTTGTGCCCAAGGCTAAAGGAGAAATCTTGGGTGTTGTGATAGTAGAATCTGGTTGGGGCTCAATGCTACCCACTGTTGTCATAGCCAATTTAGCACCGGCAGGAGCAGCAGCTCGCTGCGGTCAACTTAATATAGGAGATCAAATTATCGCAGTCAATGGAGTCAGTCTTGTTGGGCTTCCCTTGTCAACTTGTCAAAACTACATAAAAAACTCAAAAACCCATACAGTGGTCAAATTGACTGTCGTTCCTTGTGCACCTGTTGTGGAGGTAAGATAGAGAAAAAAAACCAAAAGAAAGAAAAAGGAAAAAGACTAGTTTGCTAAACGCTGTCAAATTTAAATTTTGTTGCACTGTTAATCAATATGTTTGACTACAGCTAGATCTACGTCATCCTAAAGAGAAATCAGTGGCAGAAAAGAACTAAAATTCAAGTTGGATAGCAGTGATTTTCATGAAAATTTTGATGATAGTTACCATTCTGTACTCTCTTGTTACTTTTAGTGTATTTTCCGGAGGAAATATACCGTTTTGCGTTTTCTCCTGATGTCAGACCTGGACCAAAGACCACGCAATTAGCATGCTGTTTGAATTCATGTTTATCTTTATATATAGTTATTTTTATGTTAATGTGTATGTGTATACATATGAGGACTTATCTGTAACAATAGCGGATGTCGAGTTTTCACATTGTGAGAAAATCGCGTTTGAAGTTTTTGAAGCTTTGCACTTTTCCGCCCGTACAACCGAGATGATTCTTATGAAGACTTTCATGAAAAGCAACTCTTCCGGTAAAGACACACGTTTTACAATACATGTAAGTGAATAATTGAAGGAGTGACAGCGATTTGAAAAAAATGTGACATCCGCTATTTTTACTGCAAACACTTTTTTATGCATGAAACAAAGTTTTCAGGAAGGGTAAGGCTGGTGAAACGATTAAAATGAACCAAAAGTAAGTCAATGCTGAGTCATTTAACAAAATTGAACAAGAAACTAAACCGTTTGTAACTTTTACAACAAAAACTAGGAACAAATTCTAAACTCAGTCAAAAATTCAACAATTCTGGCAAGACAGTCCCGATGCGTATAATTTGAGTGTCAGCTACAGCCCATGGCCGGTGGGCTGGCAGTTATCGCAAGTGGGTTCAAATCTCCACAGTGTCCTGCCGCGCCGGCCGGGGAAAACAGTTAATTCTCACACACGCTGTTTTTACAAATAACATGTTTTTAAGTTCATATCTCGCCGAAAAATTGTGCTAGAAGTCTGAAACTTTGCACAGGCATTCTTGGAGGCTCTAGATTTCGAAAAAAGCGTTTGTCCTTAAAATGGCGGATGTCAGCGACCGCCATTGTTACATATATATCCTCATATGTATATGAATGATGACACAAAAATTGGGATAAATGCTGTAAAAACACACACATATAAAGACCGTACGTTTCACCTCGAAACGTACAGTTTTCATATGTGTGTGTTTTTACAGCTTTTATCCCAATTTTTGTATCATCGTTTGTATCATGTTGTATGTGAGGGTGTGTGTGTGTGTGAGGGTGGGTGAGGGTGTGTGTGAGGGTGTGTGTGTGTGTGTGTGTGCGTATATATATAATGGGTAAACAAAGCTAAAATATACAAGGATATACATATATAAAAGAACAGCCTGCGACTTTCGGAGCGGTGTAGCTCCTTCTTCAATTGGCCAAATTAAAAAGTAAAAAGCTAGAAAAAAGCAGAAAACGACCTGCTACATGTTGGACGATCAGAGATTTGGCCCATTGAAAAAGGAGCTATTCAGCTCCGAAATGACTCAGGTTGTTTTTTAATATTTTAGTCTTGTTTTTCCATTTTGTTTTGGTTATCATCTGTATTGGGGCTGCAAAAATTTCTCCACCTTTACACACAATAGAGAAACGGTGCTGTACTGGGTCCACGCCATTTTGCAGGGAAAACAAAGCCAAGAAATTCCAAAAGTTTGTCAATTAGAGTCGCTGCTGAACAACTCTCATAACGAATCAAGGAAAACCCGAAAAAAATGATTTTCAGGCAGATTGGAGATACAAACGCATCCGGGAGTGTTCAGCTCAAGTGGCTTTCATTGAAATATTTAGTCGAGGTCATGCTGAGAGATCCAAAATCCAAGACAGCATCATAATGCCGTCATGAATATGACGCGAGGCATTATACAAAAGTGTGATCCTCACAACATCTACGGTCGCTGTTGAACAACTCTCACAACAAAACAAGGAAAACCCAAATAATATGATGATCAGGCAGGTTGGAGATGCGAACGCATCCAGACTCAACCGCTCGCTCTGCAACGGGCATAAACACTTATCCCTGAACTGTGCGTACAAACGAGAAAAAAAAAACACACACAAATATATATAATTTTCAATTGTTATTCTCTGTGTATTGAGGGCTGGTTCTATCTATGGTCTAACTGCTGGTTACATTTGACAAGAGACGAATTTCTGTGAGTTGATTTGGTTGACTCTTTGAACCAGATTGGCAAACCAAAGGAGAAGAAGCCCTGTGGTCGAGTTTTTTTGGTCCTTCCGCAATACTTACATATACCCAGAACAAGTCTCGACTGCACTTGAGTCGAGTTCACAGCTTCTGATTGGTCGGTGGTGTGGTTTAGACAAATCAATGGATGTTGTACCTCTATGTAAAAGAGCCAACATAATTTGGCACCTATTTAAGGCAAGAACTAAAAACTCAGTTGCTTGAAGAATGTTGGTCAATCTACTATACTCTCTGCTCCACCTCATTTGTCCGATGAAACGGTATGCTATTCTCCTCTCCGTCTGGGCTCCTGTTCTGAGCTTTTGATTTAGGCTAAGTCATTTTTTGGGTTGCTGTCCCTTTCATCAATTGAGAGTTTCACCGTGGAATTATTTTTGATATGGTTTTTCTCTTTTTTTGTTTAAGGTTAAAATTAAGCGACCTGACACTAAATATCAGCTTGGCTTTAGTGTGCAAAATGGCGTCATATGTAGCCTTCTCAGAGGTGGCATAGCTGAAAGAGGTGGTGTCAGAGTAGGACATAGGATAATTGAAATCAACAATCAGAGTGTTGTTGCTGTTCCGCATGAGAAGATAGTGAACCTATTGGCAACAAGTGTAGGCGAGGTATGAAAATTTTGCCTTTTTTGTGTGTGTGTAAGTTTGTACTCATTTTATAATTAACTAACAAAGCTATTGCATTTACTTTCAATCTTCTCACAGTTATGCCATGTCTTTTCTAAAACCTACAGATTTTACACTTCTGCTAGAAAATTAAATTGAGGAGGAGGAAAATTAGGAATTACTTCTGTCTCCCATTTTGAAACGTTTCAAGATGAAGGAAAATGAGAGCACTCGTTTCAGGGTAAGGTTGATCTAAAGTAATGGTTCAAAATGCTCTTTTTAAAAACTTACCATTAAAGACAGCATCTTGAAGACCTCTCAGTATCTTTCAAAAGGATGAGAAGGAGAAGATTGGATAATCTGTAAGTGAGTTTTTGAGAATTATCAACTTGAGAGCTCTTCTAAAGGTGCCCATTGGCTGGTAATAAATAAAGAAAGAAAAAATTACTTCAATCCATGTTGCATAGGCTCCTAAATTAAGCCACGCAGTAGTCTTATTTTTCAGTACTTAGTTTATGGAAAACTCAATACACACATTATACATATGAGGTGTAAAGGCATATTCTTATAAATTCTAAAATTGTCCGTTTAACACTGTTTTTGGCGGTCTTTTAAATGGCCAACATGGTTTTCCCCTCAGAATTTCACTAGCTCCTTTAATTTTGCCCAAGTTGCAACAACTTCGCTAATAAGTATACGTAACTGTGAAACTCCCAAACCACAAATCTTAATTGCAGTGCTTTAGAATCGCAGCCCCCTCCTCATACAGGGTGTAACATTCAAGCGGTGACAAACTTACATGGGTTGTTCTATGACTCAAAACGAAAAGAATAGTCCGTACGAAAATCCTCTAAGGTGCGTGGTTCTCAAGTTACAGGGAGTTCAATTTTTGACAAAAAATACTGTGCGTGTTCGGTTATGACGTCACAGTGGCTATCCTAATTGTCGGAACCTATAAACAATTGTGATTTCGTAAAGCACTCATTAAGAGCTTAAGAGAAGGTGTTCACGTTTTTTCTCGTAAAACCCCTCCTAATGGAGTCATTGACCGCTAAAAAAAATACCATTTTTCCGTACGTTGTCACCTTTCTTATTTTGGCATGGTAAAACGGTTTTTTTTTTAGTGGTCAATAACTCCATTAGGAGGGGTTTTACAAAAAAAAACGAAAGAACCTTCTCTTAGGCTCTTGAGTACTTTACGAAACCACAATTGTTTTAGGTTCCGACAATTAGGATAGCCACTGTGCCGTCATAACCGAACACGTACAGTATTTTTTTTCAAAAATTTAACTCCCTGTAACTCGAGAACCACGCATCTTAGAGGATTTTCGTTAAGGATTTTTCTGTTTGTTTTGAGCCATAGAACAACCCCTGAAAGTTTGTTGCTACTTAGTTGTTACACCCTGTATTTTCATCTCTCATAATTTAGGCAATGAACCTTGCGAGTTTCTTTGTATTGATATTATATTCAAAATTTTATGCTAGCCTGACATTTGAGGGAAAGATGAGAAAAAAATTTAATCTAAGTTTTTATGAATGCTTGCAGAATGGAAGTCACAAGGTTTTACCAACTTACTCTTGAACAAATATTTGAATCTACATCTAATTCAGTCGTATACTATTTCCATTTTTAAGCTATGCTAGGATTTAATTGAATAATGAAATTTTTCCCCTGTTTCAGATTCTAATGAAAACAATGCCGACATCGATGTTCCGGCTACTCACTGGTCAAGAAACCCCCGTATTCATTTAATTTAGGAAAGTTATCAAGCTGACAACAGGTTGATTCTTGTTTTTATGCTTGTCTCAGTGTTCCCAATTAAACCTCTTGAAAATGAAAATCAGAAATGAGAGGCAATTTACATGCTTTTATATTTAGGCATGGTTAGCTCTCAAATCAGTTGCAAAGAGTATGAGTCTACCCAAATTTTGACTATGCTATTCTTTGTGGGCCTATCGTTTTGGCTTCTATTTTTATTTTCCAAGAAACAGTATTTATTAGTAAAGTGATAAAGCAGAGATAGGAGAATGAAGCCACTGGAGAATGAAAGTCTTCTAACTCGAACCGAGTCCCTCTTACATCTATCATGGAACTGTGAGGAAATTCTGAGCTAAGAAAATTTGTTATATAGTGTTGTCGTTCGTTATAAATCGTTTAAGTCAACATTTCTGTAAAAAAAACTTTTAAATTCCGAATTGGCAAGCGATTTCCAAGACAACTAATTGTTGTGGTTTCAGGGAACTGTGTAAATGTACCCAAAAGAAATTGTGCAATATGACGCAAAATTGAACAATTTGAATCTCAAAGGCTGCCGCCTCCGTAAAGACGTCTGGTAGGCGAAGGGTGTAGGAGTGCACAAGTGCAGTTGGTTAACATGCTCGATATACCGTTGACTTTTTTTTTATCTTGGGGAGTCAGGTGTTCAGTCCGGACGAGAGGGAAAAGAAGAAGGAAGCAGAAAGGAATGTCTTGATTTGATCTGCACGTCTTGCAGTGGATTATGTCTTATGATCTCACCCCCTTTCCCTAAATTTGGTTGTTGTTCCTCTTGCCTCAGCAGCTATAGTTGTGTTGCATTTCATTTCTTTTTTGTTGTCTTTATCTCATTATTCAGTGCGTTGTTTTTCTTTTTATTGCCTCAATATTTACAACCCTGATATAGTTTCAATTGCCCACGGGTCACAAAGGACAAAGTTTGAGGTAGATAAGCCTTGGCAAAAGTGAGGTATGATGATCAGTCAATCTGCTCTAAGAAAGGGGAGATTAAGAGTTATCTTTCGTAGCTGCACTCAGCAACACTTTTTTCTGATCGTCTAAGATTTATTTGCTTCTGGATTATACGATCCCAGTGTAGCACCAAAATCTGAGAATCCCAAATATGCTTCAGTGTCAAGCCATTGTTCGAAAATACGACGAATTTTGGAAGATGTATGGTTCTTGTTCAGTGCAGTTTCCTTCCCATTTCGAAGGCTTGTCAGGCCGCCTGACGTGCTGTTCGACAAGCTTTCCACAGGAAAGCTCCGAATCCTTTCTGTAGAGCACGTTTGGAGGAAATCCTGGCTCAAGGCGGCCCAACGAGTAGCTCAATGCGTCGCGCTGTGCCGTTTAAATGTGCCTTCACGAGCGACTTTGGTTCAGTTTTTTGGCTTGAGCTGAGAAAAATAAGTCAGTTGGTGCCCGAAATTCAGCTGACTAAGAAGAGTTTCTAAGTGCATATATATTACGTGCAGCAGTTCTTCCTTTCGGGCCTAGATGGAGCTGGAACACTTGAGTAATCTCTGCTTCGATGTGATTTATTTCAAGTTGCACTTGCTTGTTTATTATGGTTGCACTATCAGTCTCACAATAACAACGGTGAGGCTCATTGTGTCCTTCTTTTAATTTTCTTGTTTTGCCGGTTGAAAATCCGGGTTTGATCCCGGCGAAATGTCCCGGGTTTTTTTATTTTAATTTATGTGTTTCTTTTTATTATTTGCGGCCTCAGTCCTGTTTTAAGTTATTTCTTCGTATATATATTAATAAACTACGACCTAACTGTTATAAGTACGTACTAGGAACAGTGTTCGAAACTCACAGGCGCCAAATGCGCTTCAGAAATTGGTCATGGTGCCTAAAAATGAAGGCTCTGCGCCAACGTGGCTCCTAAAAATTGCCCCCCCCCCCTTAAAAATAATAATTTTTCTCTTGGGTGCTTTTTGGAGCTCTTCTCTTCCCCAAGTTACAGCTACTAGTTCCGTAACTAAAACATCTTGCATCTAACTTTTCACTTAATGCGCCATGATATACTCGCAAAAAGTCATTTCAGCCCCCAGAAAATCTTCAATGGCCCCTTTAAATCGAGCTCGATAGGCCACATGATGAATTTTGAACACTGACTAGGTAAGAACTTTGCCTTAACAATGGTCTACGCGAATTGTTACTCGAAATTGTTCGGTGTCACGGCATTTTCAAAAGGGCTACAAACTGCACCAAACTGTAAATTTGCGAGCTCGCTCGCGATCGGGTTATGCTGTCACTGTTTTCAAAATCAGCCGAAAAACGAAAACACGCACTGATCTTCCCGACTAACTGCTGATGGGCAGTCGCTGTCATTCAGGTTAAGGCTCATCAAAACAAGACATTGTAGGCAACACCCAATACATCGGTGTCGCTCCTATAATTGATAGCATTGGAGCACCGCCTAATGTAGATAGCCTCATGAAATGGACCACATTTTGTAATAAGGGACCCCTATTTCCGGCTGATTTTAGAAATAACATATGTGCCATTAGTTTCCCTAAACTAAAAGGTGCTTTTATAGAGATAGTGTTCCTCATTGCAAAAAGTAGTAAATACAATCTCGCCCTCGTTTTTCTCGTTCTTGTCGTATTAATGGGGTGGTATCTGTTCACCCAGGTGCTGTTTTGTCACGCTTTTGTAAGCTCTCTCGCAATTTTCATAGTTAAGTTTGTACACAACATTTGAAGCTTTTTCTGGTGGCATGCTGCTCTTCAATTTCAAAAAAAGTGGTTTATTTGAATTTTGACAGCAGGAAACGGGTTAAAATTTGTAAGGTTGCCAATATTTTCTCAATTTTTTGCTTAAAGCCTTTTACATACGGTTCTTTAATCAGCCTACTAGCATCAATAGATGCACAAATGGTCCTATAACGAGGTCTGTTAGATTAGAAACCGGATTTTGGTCATAACTAGCCTACAATGCGTCCAAATTAGGTTTTCTTGGACTTTTCTGATAGCTGAAAATATATTTAAGAACGCTACGTTCATAAATTTGAAAATTCCTAATTAACTTCGTTGGTATGTGGCTTGAAGTAAGGTGACATTATGGGTGTTCTGTGATTTTTATGTTTGACCGAACTTGTCTCTCTTTTTTCGGTCTTGCACTACCTTTTTCAACTCACAAAGATGATTGGAGTTTCGTCTCCATATCGTGACCGCACACTCAAGTTTTGTCAACGAAAATTATCCTATCCGAAAATGTAGGATCATTGTTGAGCGTTCAAGCAGCTAAAGGGAAATTGATATTTTTGGTTGGATTTTGACTCAACGGACAACAGTCAAGGGGCAAAGTGTACCTGAAACTCGATGCATGTCTACATATTCTATCAAAATTGTATGTACAGAACCTTAAGAAATATTACTCTGTTCAGCAAGCTAGAAACGACCATTTTCGAGCACTTTTGCCTGCTCTTCTTCCTCTTGACAAATGTCAGTTGCCGTTGATGGTCGATTCCCGCGCTCCTCACCTACGACGGACTCCTGACCAGTTTTGAATCATTTAACCCACTCAAAACAGTGAGAGCGACTTAAACAATGATCTTGGTAATTTTTACTTAACATACCAAAAGTTTCGGCACAAGGTATACGGAGTTAAAACAAAATTTAATGTTAAATTTTTGCCCTATCAGTGATCGCATGATCAAATTCGTAGAACGCACCTGGCTTACTCGTATTCAAGGTGACACAGCATGAACACTGATCAAAACAAGCAAAATCTGTGAACGTAGCGTTCTTCAGTATGTTAACAGGTATCAGGAAAGTTCAAGAAAACCAAATTCGGACGCATTACGGGCTAGTTATCACCAAAATCCGGTTTCTAATCTAACAGACCTCGTGTATCGACAGTGAAACTGCTAAAATGCGTATCTTGGTTGGGATGTTTCAAAAAATCCGCTCCTATTTTCTTGTTTGAAAGGAGACTAAACCGAAGTAATCACTCGAAATTTTCCCAGAAAATCCTTTGAATAGATAAGAAAAAACGACGGAGTTTGCAAGAAATGACGTTTATTTGTTTTTGATGTAGAAAATTAAGTATGACGGGAAGTCTGCAACGTCCCAAACCGAGATAAGCATTTCTGCAGTTTTACCATCGATGTAAAACATCTGTACATACAAGGTGTCTGGAATTTAACGTCCTTAACTTTTAGGATCGATTTTTTAGCTCAAAATATGACTTTTTTATTCTCTACACATATGCACAGAAACGCTTTTTCAGTGAGCTATGCACTTTCAAAGCTGCCATTATTTTTTCTTTCAAATTGATGTAACTCCTCGTTATTTTTTGTAGTAGCTGAAACTTCGTGTCTAGTCTAGGCATTATGGAACATTTGATGGGAAAACGTGACTGACTACTCCACGGGTGCTTTCCGCCCTATTTTTGGGTCGTAGGTCGTTAGTTTAATTACAATTCCAAGCGCTACTCTTTTTGTAGTCCTTGCAATAAAAATTGCCTACCCAGCAAGGAGCTTTTGACAATCTAAAACTTGTTCGAAGCTCTGTTGCGTCGAAATGACGCGTTTTGGGAAAATTTTGTGCAGGACCATTTGGCTTTGACCGCTTGATTTTTCGCGCTCTTGCACGTGCCGTAATCCGTTCCTCCAAACATCATCTACCAACAAATTTCGGAAAATGGCGTTACTAGCGTTCCCGAATTTTAAAATTGCGATAACTTTTTTGGTGGATGATATTTGGAGAAACGGATTATGGCATATGAAAGAGCGCGAAAAATCAAGCGGTGATGGCCCTGCACAAAATTTTCCAAAAACGCGTCATTTCGATGCAACAGAGCTTCAAACGAGTTTTAGATCGTCAAAGCTCCTTGCTGGGTAGGCAGTTTTTACTGCAAGGACCGTAAGAAAGCGTAGCGCATAGCAAAGGAAGCGCATAGCTCTCTAATGAAGCGTTTTCAGGCATATACATGTAGGAAAAAAGTCATATTTTGAGCCGAAAAATCGATGCTGAAAGTTAAGAGCACTAACTTCCAGACATCCTGAATATATACATATAACAAGGTGGTACAATAAGTTTATGGAAAGCATACTATGCTGTATATTAATTCAATCAAATAATGCTTCTGACAAAACACATGTGTAGGTCCAACATCTTTTCATTCTCTCTTTTGTGCAGAGGATACATCCAGTCTCTCAAATTCTCGGGAGTTGCGTGTTTGAAGTAGTATTTCCTCAACAGGGAAGAGAGATCATTAGGTCAGCAGTAAATCAATAATGCATCACTTCCTTTGATTAATAGACTGATTTAGTGGCTACGTCGTTTGATATAATATCGAACCCTTGGTTCAAAAGTAAACAAACACAGAACCTTGTTTCTGATTCGCGCCCCATGCGACATGGTGGTAAAATGCGTCCAAGTGTTTCTTACAATAGAAAGTTCTCGTGTTTAATGAGTCTGTAATTGATTTATGACCGGTCAATGACTACATTTTAATACATTAATACACTTTACTGGTGAAGAATTCGTACATGAGGATGTGTTAGTTAGTTTTGGTTTGAACCAAGAGTTCGACATTATATCGAATGATGTAGTCACGAGATCAGTCTATAGGACATAATTGCTTCTTCATAATCCTCAGTAGTGCCTTGAAATTGACACTGACTGCAAAGTAGTTTTGATTATGTATTTAAGTTAAGAAAACGATGAGCTGAATGCTGAAATCCTAAAGTATTGTATTTTCCTCTTTTTCCTCCAAATATTTTTAAAGAATGGGTAAGTTGTGTTGGTCACAGAATCGTGTTTTGCTTGATTCCGACAGATTTTCCAAAAGAAATAAGATCTGTCCAAACAGCAACTTTCTGCATTCAATATTAACCAAGATATCTCGCTTTGAAAATTCGGTTTATGCCGTCATCCTCAGCAGTAGTGACACCATCGGTTTCTCCCACCTTGCTTTCTTCCGAGTTTCACGTTGAGTAACCGGTGCAAATGTGTGCCATCCCTGATTGATGAAAGCAAGGTGGAAGAAACCATGAGTGTCTCTACTGCAGTGAATGACCTCATAAACCGAATTTTTCAAAGCACGATGGATATCTCGGTTAATATTGTACATAGAAAGTTACTGACTAGATAGACTTGATTACTTTTAGCTAATTACAAGCATCAAACATTCAAACACGACTCTGTAACTGGCATTGTTGGACGGACTAACGGACCTATTGTTGTCTAGTGCCATATTATCATACATAAATTTCCCTCCTGAACCGAGTCATGATGATCCAGTCTCAGGCTCACAACATTATAATTTATTATTTCAATGGGAATGCTGAGGAGGATTTTCTTTGCAAAATATCCGTAACCTGCCTGTCTTTAAGCACCAAACTCAGCCATGTGCCATATTTACTACTATTTAAAATATTAGCAAAAGTAATGAAAACTCCTGGTAATGTTTCCTCTCAATACAATTTTTTTTTATTTTGTTCCATTGTTCTGTTATGATATACATCTATCAGCACATCTTTTGCTGGAAATTGAATCTCCTTTTTTTCAAAAAGAAAGGAAACACTGTCAATGATTTTGCTTTTTCGCCATGTAAGTACGTAGACAGTCTCAAAACAACTAACAAATGGCTTGATCAGAAAAAGCCATCTTACCTGTTGAAATTTGGTTTATAAGAGATTTGCAGTCCATATCTTTAGCTTCAAAATGAAATCACATTAGGTCAAAAATTCAAGGAGCTGAAGTGATGTCACGAAAAAATGGGGAAAAAACCCCCTTTAGGTTTTTGGACAGATTACATTCTGGAATTTTACACGTTTAATTTCTCCGCAAAAGCCATTGCAGGTTACAATGTCTTGGTCAAAAGTGAACTTTTTAGAGATGTCCTGTACAAATTGCAAGTTTCGAACTGACAAATGCCAGTTATCCTGAATTACGTACCCATGTAAAAAGCGGTACAAAATCTTGGGAGGATTTTTTTTCGCATGTGCGCATAATATATCTGTGACTGCGAATTGTTAACTATTTAAGCAGAACAAAGACCCATTTTAAATCTGAGCGTACAGACTGCAACTTCATGCAAACTACTTTTCAATAGCTAGCATGATTTTCTCAAACCAGGTCAAACGTCAGTTGTTTTGAGAGAGTCTTTGTATAATTGTGACCATTTACAGGAAAAGAGACCTTAGTCCATAGAGGCAAACTTTCGGGAGAGCGATTTCTGCCACGTCGGTTAAAAAATCGGATTTCACGATTTCAGCGGGGATTTTTCTCTCGTGTACCTATCCAACAACTTACGTGCGAGTTATTCGTTTTTTGCGCCACTAAAGGGGCTAAAGTTGCATTTCAGTCTATTGTCCTTGGGATACCATATTAGCATTATTAATAGCTTCTAATCCGATTGTTAGTTGAGTTGCAAACATTAAATCACCACAAATTGGGTTCAAGTTACCTGTTGTTGGAACATTTAATTCTCAAATATCTGTAGAGCACTCACATATGTCCGGATATTAATAAATCAATTTCAAGTATTTGTTAGACAGGTCTCTTTCTCTGCAGAGGGTCATCTTTGATTGTTCCATTTTATAACTGAACCCATACATCCAAGGTTCATGATTGTCTAGTCTTGGTTTTTCTTGTTCTTGTTTTTTTTCTTTTACGTATGTGTCTGTGAGTTATTTTTTTGTGAATGACGTTTTAAATTTTTTGATTTGCTCATTCTTTTGCATTAAAGGTTGGATTTCAGGCATCTTTCTCAAGAAAATTAAATTATATCTTATCTGATTTCGCAGGTAATCACAAAAAATTCTTCATCATATCTGATGATTCTGTTATAGGAACCTCAAAAACATGTATCAAACTTAAACCCAAGTTTTAGAAATGAATCGAGCTAGTTCTTGATATGTTATCCTCTCGAAAGCCAAAGAAACTAATATATATTGTGCAACTCAGCTTTAATAACACTTTACGTAAGTTATCATGAATAGCGTTCTGCTTCTCTGCAAGGAACTACAAGTACAAGTAACCTGTTTTCCTTTGTTTCATATGAATATCATTTAGAGAATTCTTAATCATGTTTACACTAATTCATGATTTTACAGGGTTATCTGAAAGTTAATTACCTCCCCTATTACTTTTTTCTAATTAGATGGAAAGGGGTGTATGCAAAATCGGCAACCCCCCCCCCCTTCCCCATAGATTTTGACCAATTTTCAATATTTTATTCCTTATCATAGGACACACCTTTTTCCAAACGTTCAAGGCCTGAAATGAATTTCTTTCCGCGTAGCAAAGCCAAGCGTAGCGTTGCCAAGGTGAATTCCATTGAATTCCATATCTTCCGAACAAAAAATGATACTGAGGTGCGGTTTGCACAAAAATTCTCAAAAAATTGCTTTCTTTTGAAATAATCCATAAATTTGATTGTTTGGGTGATTTAAAAGTGTAATGATGCCATTTTCATACAATCTTTAAGGCCAATTTTTTTTCAACTCCAGTACATCGTCAAATGCCGGAATCTCGATTCGAATAAAAAACTGTTCATTATATTTTTCGTACTTTTCGGTACATTTCGATGTTACAACTCTCAGGGAAACGATTGGTACGCAAGGTATGGGCTATCAAAGTTTACGATTCGCGCGCGCCGACTGGAATCTGGGCGCTCTGAGTCGTCTGCACAGGCACACCCCCTCCCTTGCCACCGGTAAGTTTCACGAGATCACTTCTGGGGATATTTTAGCTGCCATTTTTAGGGTTTTTTTCAGTTTTACTTATGTCAAACTTAATTTAAATTGAAGACAGTCTACGTTTTTGGAAAGAATGTAAAAATTGAATAAAAATTTAAGACTTACATTTTCCTATGTTGCCAAATTTTCAAGAAAAATCGTCCCGAAGAGCCAAAAATGGCAGAAATGCGATAAATGATTTAAGTCTGAGGTTCAAGTGAGTGGGCTGCAACTTTTATTTTGACGTACATAACAGCTCTTACCCATCCGTACAATACTTCAAAAAAGCATAGTTGTACCTGGATTCCCATGATTTGAAAATTGACCAGAAAGTCACGGTTTGCGGCCCATAAAATGAATAAAAATATGTGAGTAACTTTTTCCTAAGTTGCTAAATTTTCAAGAAAAATCGTCCTGAAGTGCCAAAATCGGATTATTTATCACGTCGACAGTTAAAGGAAGTGAATTATGACTTTGAGGCGGAGTAGTGGGACAATGTCCCCACGCAGTGGCACGCAGTCTCTGTTCTCGGGTATCTAGCCTGTAGTAGGCGCCTTGAGAACCAATGACCATCTCAAGGATACAGGAACAAATTGGTGAGACACAGAGGAATATGAGGAAGAAGCACCTTGAGGCTCCGTTGCATCACGTTCATCCGAGCCATTACATTTTCGGTGAAATGTATTGTAATTTTCCATGTTAGATATGTTATTTGTAGTAAACCATAACTAAAAATTTACATTTTTCACATGAAATTCATAATTGCCTTCCTAGCACCTTCCGAGTGATAATAATTAATCCAATTTTTGGCACTTAAGGACGATTTTTCTCGAAAATTTGGCAATCTCAGAAACTGTTACATGGAACAATATTGACGTACTTTCTTGCGTTATTTTCAAAAATGTACGCGGCTTCCATGATAAATTCAGTTTATCATTTGTATAATTAAAAAAGAAAACCTTAAAATGGACCAAAAACGGCAACAATGAACCGTAAGGCCCCTTAAAATTCATTGAGAGCCATTTTAAGGCCAAAAATAAAAAATATGGAACAAATACATGCTGTCGTGGAGAGGCGTGTCATCACCTACGGTTTTATGTCCGCATTTTCACGATTCCTTCATTGCCTTGGGGCGAGGGCCGTTGCTCTCGTAGGCGCAAGCTCAGGCGTGCATCTTGGCGTCTCCAAGCATCTACCTTGATGCATCGGTCATCGTACTGACATCTCTGACATCATTGCTCTTCTGGATGATGCAAAGATATATATCTTCGTATCATCCAGAAGGACGATTTTTCTTAAAAATTTGGCAACATAGGAAAATGTAAGTCTTAAATTTTTATTCATTTTTCACATTCTTTCCAAAAATGTACACTGTCTTCAATTTAAATTAAGTTTTACATAAGTGAAACTGAAAAAACCCCTAAAAATGGCAGCTAAAATATCCCCAGAAGTGATCTCGTGAAACTTACCGGTGGCAAGGGAGGGGGTGTGCCTGTGCAGACGACTCAGAGCGCCCGGATTCCAGTCGGCGCGCGCGAACCGTAAACTTTGATAGCCCATACCTTGCGTACCAATCGTTTCCCTGAGAGTTGTAACATCGAAATGTACCGAAAAGTACGAAAAATATAATGAACAGTTTTTTATTCGAATCGAGATTCCGGCATTTGACGATGTACTGGAGTTGAAAAAAAATTGGCCTTAAAGATTGTATGAAAATGGCATCATTACACTTTTAAATCACCCAAACAATCAAATTTATGGATTATTTCAAAAGAAAGCAATTTTTTGAGAATTTTTGTGCAAACCGCACCTCAGTATCATTTTTTGTTCGGAAGATATGGAATTCAATGGAATTCACCTTGGCAACGCTACGCTTGGCTTTGCTACGCGGAAAGAAATTCATTTCAGGCCTTGAACGTTTGGAAAAAGGTGTATCCTACGGTAAGGAATAACAATTGGACAGCTTTATGCAATAAGGAACCAGGGTCAAATTTTCGATTTTTTCTTTATGATGAATTCCATATCTTATGGGGTATCTATATAGGGTATTTACTTACTATTGAGAAAAAGAAAATCCTCGAAAACTATTTTTATCCCCCTTCAGCAACCCCGCAAAAACTTGCCGTCACAGGATCACGCAAGGTTCATTTTGCAATTATTGGGACCTATACTATGGTTCCCTATTGCGTAATGGGATACTCGGATTTCCCATTTTACAATTCGGAACTATAGGCAGGACGGCAAAATGCTATCTCGGCATTCTCGGCTCCTGTTCGATCGATCTTGCTGATTTTTGGAAACAGGGGGTATTTTTCAACGGGAAACTCGAATTTCTGGTCAAATTTTGAAAATTTCAAAATCCAATATCGCGGATGTGGCCTAAAATGCTATCTCGACTCCTGTTCGATCGATCTTGCTGATTTTTGGTGTGAGGGGGTATTTTATAACGGGAAACTCGAATTTTTAGTCAAATTTTGACAATTCGAAAATCCAAGATGGCGGATGTGGCCTAAATTGCTATCTCGGCTCCTGTCCGATCGATCTTGCTAATTTTTGGTACTATGGGGTATTTTTCGATGGGAAACTCTAATTTTTGGTCAAATTTCAAAAATTCGGAAATTCAAGATGGCGGATGAGGCCTAAAATGCTATCTCGACTCTTGTTCGATCGATCTTGCTGATTTTTGGTTAGAGGGGGTATTTTTGGACGGGAAATTCAAATTCCTAGAAGAATTTAGAAAAATTTGAAATTTTTTCAAATTTTGACAATGACCTTGCTCAGTAAGTTTGACTTTAGAATTTTTTGAAGTATTTACCACTCATAAGCCACAAGAATTTTCCCCGATATTTTTCGAATTTTAATCCACGAAAAACAAGTTTGAGGTTGCGTCTTCTGAGCTCCCTTTTAAACGCGTGTCTCCGAGGAATGAAAGATCCCCTGAGTAAGGTCATTTTCGGCCACATTCACCATCTTGGATTTTCGAATTTTTTAAATTAGACCAAAAATTCGAGTTTCCCGTCCCTAGATACCAGAGTCAAACTGACCATAAGGCCAATCTGCCATTGGCAGGTACGCCCCCCCCCCCTGATGCATCGAAAACGCGCCCCTCTGCTAGATATACCAAAATAAGATGAGAGATAAAATTCTGACCGAGAAATAATGCGGAAAATTCATAAATGAACGGGAGAAGAGAAAGTAAGAGTAAAGTAAGGTCCTTGTACGCATGATAGAGGCGAATGCAGGTCCTGGAACCGTAGACCCGAAATGAGTCCCCAAAGGCGCCTGGCGGCCTGGGCCAACAAAAATGCTGGAGAATTGATGTTTTGTTTTTCATTTTTTTATTTGCTGCATTTAGATTTTTTATCCGTGGCTCAATGTTTTGAAGAAGAGAATGTGAAAAATTGAGACATACTGGTTTAATCAAGCTATAATGAATGACAATTATTTCACTCACTAGCAGACATTCGATTAAATAAAGTGCAAACGCGAAACATTGGTCACTCTCCGTCGTAAAATTAGCTTTGAGGCATTGAAAATTCTTCTCGATTATAGTTTTCGAAAAGGGGATGATGAGCGTCATTAATTGCGGAAATGAAAATAGCTCTCGAACTTTAGTAAGTTTTTTTTTTTTTTTTTTTTTTTTTTTTTTTTTTTTTTATACTACTTCAAATAGCCCATAAGGGCTAATCCCACGCGTTAAGTCCCATCCCCCCTCCGTCCCTACTGAACCAGTCCCAGGCAACCATTGTTTGAGACCATCAAACTCGGGTCGCCTGGCCGGAAATCGAACCCGGGACCTCCCGATCATAGAGCAAGCGCTACAACCACTACACCAAAGGAGGCCGACAAGTGTCAAAATACCTATACATAAAATTTCTAAGATCGGTAAAAAATTATTTTCTTCAAAAATTTCACCTTTCTGGTAACATAAAGACGCCTTATCACCCCTTCCTCATCCGCCATGTGTCACTATGTCTCACAAGAGGTGGTGCAGTCAATTTTTAGACGTGCGCCCTTTTGATCGATTGAGAGACCTTCACGTAGCCCTTGAAGCACCACTACAAATGAGAC